TAATGTGGGACTAGTGAGCCCTTTCAGTGACATGGCCAGGGAAGCATCTGGTAGAATTTGTTGTTCCAGCTGCTGTGTCCACAGCCTTCTCTCCCGCTTGGTTCTTTCTAGAGTCACAGGAGATGCGTGGGCTTGCCGTCCGTACCTCACCCTGTGTCATTTCCGCTTTATTCTCTTCCCCTGAGCTACGGGGGTAATTTTTTTACTTTTGACTTACAGCCTCCATTGGCTTTAAATTCATCCGCCATATTTTTTTTTTTTTTTGTCTTCATAAAATCTTTTTTCTCTTTAAATTGTCCTTTCTTCCTCATTGCCTGATGCCGTTCCTTAAGCACAGTGTCCTCTTGACTCTTAGAGACCAGGTACTAGAAATTTGCTACAAATTTCTTCTGTTTGTCACAGCAAATTGATTTCGGAGGAAGGCATTTGCTCTAGATGCTTTAGAGGGGCCCTTGTGTCTTGAGCTGTGGTGTATTATCCTAGGGCCAAAGACTGCCTTCTGAGTGCTCATCCTTTTTGAGGGAGGTGCAGGCCAATGTAGAATTGCCTAAGGTCCGTATTACCTAATGCAGCCACAAAATAAAGCTAGAGTTCAAAGGAACCTTCTATGAAATTTTATGGTTTTAACATGATGGTTTTAGCAACCGTGACGAACTTTCCCAGACCTCTCTGTCATCTCTCTCTGGTAAGAGCTTCACAAATTGCCCACCCACATAGAACCACCATCAAAACCACTTACCATCAAGCGGCCATTCAGCAAACACTCACTGAGCAAGCACCCACTCCATATCGGGCCCTGTGGTAGGAACTGGAGATTCCGCTGTGGGCCTGGCAGACCCCATCTCCGCACTCGGGAGCTGTTTAGGGAAGTAGAGGTGGACAGAGCAGTAGACAGTGAGTAAGGGGCTGTGAGGAGGGATACCCCAAATTAGCTTTGGGTGATCTGGAGAGGTTCCTGGAGGAAGCCATGTGTGTGGAAGGTCCAGTGAGCCTGAAGGATTCTGTCCTGCATCCACCAAATATCCACTGTGCTCTGCTCTCTGCCCAGCTCTGTTCCGAGCAGACCAGCGGCGAGAGCATCCATGCTAAGGGGAGACAGACACCAAGTAGACAGCTAAAATTACAGCATCACTTTACAGGAGTAACTGCTTGGAAGGAAGGTCCAGCACGGTGAGAAGTTGGAGGGTCCCTCTAGCCTGGGGGCCGTGGTCACTAAGGCAGACCAGGAAGGCCCCTCTGAGGGGGGCAAGTTTGGCAGAGAAATGAGAGAAGGGAGAAAGCATTCCAGGCAGAGGGAACAGCAAGGGCAAGTGTGCAGACGCCGGACCAATGGGAAGGGCCACGGGGCTGCAGTGGCCAGAGGGAGGCCACCAGCCTGGAGAGGAAAAGGGAGCCCTGGGTCTCAGAGCCTCAGAGGCCACAGGAGGGAGAGTGGGTGTTATTCTAGGTGTGAGGAGACCCAAAGAGGCTTTGACCAGGTGTCGGGGGGATGGGGGAGGCAGAGAGGGACACAATCAGACGATCAGCTGTCGGGGGGCAGCTGTTGGGAGTGGACGGGCCCAGAAGACCAGCCCCGAGGCACTGTGGTGAACGCTGGGGAGGTGGCAGGGAGTAAGAGTTCCCCAGGCTCAGAGATGTCTTTACGTCCTCGGAATAGAAATGTCCTCTGTGACCGTAAACATCCCCCTGGCCCAGGGTCGTGCGGACGCACACAGGCCCGCGCCACCCACACTCCCTGACCTATCTTGGCAGCCCAGAGCACTCTAAAACTTAAGGACTTAGAAGGAATGATGGAATTAGAGGGTCACCCGTTGGCAACTAACACGACGATGGGTGTCCCCCGCCAAGAATCCCCCAGGGCTGCTAAATCTAGTGGACAGCGGTCTGATGGGAAACAGGAAGGCGACCTTGGCTCAAAATACCTCCCTGCAAAGTCACATCATTTCCAAGGGGCAAACCTGTAACTTTCCACAGAGAAACCTGGTCGATCCCCACACCCCTTTGACCAAGTCAGCCAAGTGAACCCGGCCAAGAACGGGTACAAATCTTTTGTACATTTTTTTAATGGGTTCTTCGTTTGCTCACTGTTGAGTTTTGAGCGTCCTTTATAAATTCTAGATACTGTCTTTGTCAGATACGGGTTTTGCAGATGTTTCTCCCAGTCTTTAGCTCACCTTTTTAATTTTCCTAACCATGTCTTTCACAGAAGACAATTTTAAAACAAAATCCGACTTACCGATACCTTCTTTCCTAGATAGTGCTTCTGATGTAAGCCAAGAAATCTTTGCCTAGCTTATGGTAAGAAAGTTTTTTCCCTGGGCTATCTTCTAGAAGTTTTATAGTTTTGAGCTGTGCTATAGGTCTGTGATCCATTTTGAGACATTTGGGGGGGGGGGTTCTAAAATGTGAGATGTGGGTTGACATTTTTTTCTGCACGTGGGTGTTCAGTTATTCTAACACCATTTGTTGAGAAAACAGTTGCAGAGCAGATTCACTGGGATCACGTGTTTGGATAGTTAGAGGATGGGAGGGGTGATAGAAATGTGTGATGGGCAGGCCCCAAGAGCCCCCATGCCCCCGCCTGGGCACCAGGCCTTGGATTGCCAGTTTTCCCATGGGCAGTGGGCCATCAGGCAGGCCCTGCCAAAGAGAAAATCCTGCCATGGACCTTGTCAGGCCCCATGTGGTTACTGTTTAACACCTTGGGTGAAAATGAGCTTTTCTTGTAACCACTGAGGGTTTGAATGTTGCTCCAAGCAGATGGTGCCCACACAACCTTGGTTGTTAGGTTTGTGGTGGGTGGGAGCCCCCAGCAGCCTGCCTCTTGGACTCCCTGCTCCAAGAAGAACCTGGAGAGATGCCAAAACATGTTTCTGCAGGGCAGGACAGGAGCCGGGCCTGGCAGAGGGCAAGTCGTCAGAGCAGAGTCCAGAAGTGAGAGGGGGAGCACTCGTCGTAGGCCCCAGTGTGAGCAGGGAGGACGGAGCCGGGAATGTGAGGCCTGGTGGTCCCGTGTGCACCGTCGGTGCATTTCTCTCGGTGATGGGACACAGCCCTGCTTGGGCTCTGCTCGGTCTTGACGCCAGCCATCATCCTCTTGGGATTTCTATCCCGAGGAAAGAACCAAACACGTGGGCCAGGCTTTGTCCCACTGCTCTGTTTAGGATGGCAGGAAACTGGCTACAGCTTAGCGGCCAAGGACGGATGAAATGAGTCTGGGTGCGTTTTCCTAGTGGAACTCCGGGCGGCTGCTGGAGGGGTGAGGCACACGTACGTGTTGTGGTCGGGAGAGGGTTTGTGAGATCCCGCCGGGGAAGAAAAGTGGGCTCTGGGGCCGCGGGTACGTACAGTGAAGGCATTGTTGTAAGTATTAGCTGTTCATGGAAGCATCTATATTTCATTCTTTACCTGAACACTTTTGGAACCAGTTCCTTCTGTAACCAGCCCCTCATCCCTGCAGCTGTAGTGTCAGGGTTTTATTTTAATCAGGAGTCCTGCCCTCTTCTCCTTCTGGACCCTTTCTCAGGTCCACTGCCAAGGAGCCAGGAGCTGGGGGAGAGATGAGCAGGGCTTCAAAGAAGGAGGGAAGGAGGGGCGGGGCTCACGGGAGAAGCAGCGGGACAGCGCTCTGCAGGGCAGGGGTGGGGGGCGCCCCTAGCAGGTGTCAGCAGTGGGGAGAGCTTCCATAGCTCCAGCCACACTCCCGAGCTCCCCACTATCATCACAAGCACTTGTCTGCAGATGGCTCCTCAGGAGCCAGCGGGCTTTTAATTTGTGTTAGTCATAGTACTCTTTATTAAAATAAAATTTTAGACTGAGGGCCACTGTATAAAACAGATACACATACAGTAGAGGTGTTCTGAAGAAGAAGCATTATAATTCAGCTATAATTTATTTTTTTAAAGATTATTTGAGAGAGAGAGTACTCATACACACAGAGGGAGAGGGAAAGGGGGAAGGTGGTGGCCTAGGCTCTGTCTGTTGGGGACCCCTTGTCTCCCCACACATACACACCAACCCTTGCCTATGCCATTGGTTGCTACAACAGAAGATGGATTAGGGTTCTGGCAGAGGAACTGGGGCAGCTGAGCCATCGAGGAAGGCACTCAAGGGGCTCGGGACAGTGGCAATTACCACCTGGGATGGAAGGATTTAAACATTTTAACTAGCAAGTCCGCATGTCATCCATGGATAGATGGATGAACAGATGGATGGATAAGTAGAAAGATGAAAAGATGGATGGATGGATGGGTGGATGGTGGATGGATGAGTGGATGGTTGGATGGATGGATGATGGATGGATAGATGGATGGTGGGTGGATAGGTGGTTGGATAGTGGATGGATGGGTAGATGAATAGATGGGTGGATGGTTGGATGGTGGATGGATAAGTGGATGGTGGATGGATGGATGATGGATGAATAGATGGTGGGTGGATAGGTGGTTGGATGGTGGATGGATGGGTAGATGGATGGTTGGATGGATGGATAGATGGATGGATGGGATGGTCAGATGGATGGATGATGGATAGATGGATGGTGGGTGGATAGGTGGTTGGATAGTGGATGGATGGGTAGATGAATAGATGGGTGGATAGTTGGATGGGTGGATGGATGGATGGAGTGGATGGATAGATGTGTGGATAGATGGATGGATGGATGGATGAATAGACGGATGGATGGATAGGTGGGTGGGTGGATGGATGGATGGGTGGATTGATGGACAAATGGAAGAACACAGATGGATGGATGACAGATGGGTGAGAGGAAAGAAAGAACAGTGGGTTGTGGAACAAGATGGAAGAGAGTGAAGGCAGATGGATGGAGGATGGATGGAAAGGTGGGAGGATGGGTGGGTGGAAAGGTAGAAGGATGAATGGATACGTGGCAAGACTGAAGGAAGGAAGGGAGGGTGGATGGAAGGACATGTGCATGGAGGTTATGTGGGCTCCAGAGTAATACCCGTCAGTGACGGCCTGCTCTTGGCTCTGGATGCCCGCAGGGAGCTTCCTGGTGCCCTACATCGTGATGCTGATGGTAGAGGGCATGCCTCTCCTGTACCTGGAGCTGGCAGTGGGGCAGCGCATGCGGCAGGGCAGCATCGGTGCCTGGAGGACCATCAGCCCCTACCTTGGTGGTGTTGGTAAGTGGGTCCTCTCTCGTCCTTGGCCACCTGGACCCCTGTCCGGGATGCAGCAGGGGCTGGGGGTGGGAGCCCACTGGCAGAGCAGCTGGGGCCAAGGAGCAAGCACAAGGCCTAAGAGAAAGCCCCTGGATGGGTGGACACACGGCCCGGGAGGTGGTGCCCCCGCATGCCGGCTGGGAGGGGCTGGACTTCTTAGCCACAGGCCAGCGAGAAAGCGGGGATGCACACGCGCTGGGCAGCTGGTGCCACATTGCTTCTCTTCTCTGGGCCTCAGTTTGCTCTTTTGTAAAAGGGAACTAGCTGCCCAGCTGAGGGGCTATAACGCAACGTCCCAGCCGGCTACCACTCTGGGAACTCACCTAGCTAACTGCTCCCTGCCACTTACTAGTAACAACGTCTCCCTGTCCGTGAGCACCTCCTCGGTGCCGGGTGCCAGCCTGTACGACAGATGCTCATGAGCCCAGGCGAGCTTTGTCACAGCACTGAGAGGCCACGGGGCGCCGTTCATACCGCCGGTGCACGGAGCCAGAGGCTGCACGGCCCCCCCGCCGAGCCACTTGGAGCTGGTGTCCCGGGCACCGCTCAGAGATGGTTAACCTGCCCCGCACAACCCTCACGTTGCAGGGCTGCCTGGGAGCAGCGGGAGGAACTTTGGGCCACACTGGCCACCATCTCTTCTGCTCCACCCTCCCGCCCCCAGACAGGAAGGCAGGCAGGGAAGCAGAGGGTGTTCCAGGAGCAAGGAGGACGTACACGTCCGTGGCCTCCCGAATCGTCTCTAAACCCCAACTGCCTCCTCATCTTGAAGGGCTGTTAATTTTTTTTTTTTTAGATTTTATTTATTTGACAGAGACAGAGACAGCGAGAGCAGGAACACAAGCAGGGGGAGTGGGAGAGGGAGAAGCAGGCTTCCCACGGAGCCAGGAGCCCGATGTGGGGCTCGATCCCAGGACCCTGGGATCATGACCTGAGCCAAAGGCAGTCACTTAACCAACTGAGCCACCCAGGCGCCCGGGCTGTTAATTTTTAACAAGGAGGCGTGTGGCTTTACAATCTGCCCACATAATCAATCACAAAGGGCTTCTCTGAGGTGGCATTTGCTGCCTAATAGGAAAGATACCGGATGCTTGTGCCAAGCAGGGGTGCGGGCGAATGTTTAACCACCAGCCCTCGAGGAGGGCTGCGGTAGGGAGGGCCTGGCGGTAGCGTTCACCGAGGCCGGTGGTATAAATACTTGCACTGGGGCGGACTGCAGACCCCCCACGCGATGTCCCACGGGGTGGGGTTGGGTGGAGACGCGCACAGTGGCTCTGGGGGGCTGGCCGACCCGTCCCCTCGCCTCCTGACACCCAGCCCCATGCCCCCGCTCCCTGCCGCCATGAGGCAGGGCTGGACACAAGGGACCCCACTTCGGGGGAGCCCCGGGGGGAAGCATCGGGGTGGCGCTGGGCAGGCTCAGCAGGCCACTCACGCTCCGTGCTGAGTCCACGTCTGCCACATCGTAGCCCGGCGCTCTCGGGCAATCTCTGTGCCTCGTTTTCTCCTCCGGGAAGGGCAGGTAATGACGCCCCCGTGACCACGTTGTCACGAAGACCTAAAGCCCATCAAGTGCTCGGATTGCACCTGGCACCGAGGGGTGGCAGACATGGCCTCGGCCTCGGCAAAGCCGGGGAGTGAGTTTGCAGGGACGGACCGGCTCTTAGAGAGGGCCCGCAGGCGCCCGGTCATGGCTGGCCCTCCCTCAAAGCTGTCGGAGGAGGAGGTTTGCTCTCCTGGGGCAGTCACCCAGGCGCGTCCCGGCCGGCGGACCCAGGCCGGGCCTCAGCGCCCCTCTGCCTCCTCATAGGCCTGGCCAGCGTGGTGGTGTCCTTCTTCCTGTCCACGTACTATAACATCATCAACGCCTGGGCCTTCTGGTACCTCTTCCACTCCTTCCAGGTGAGCCGGCCCAGGCCGGAGCGGGAGCCACCCCCAGGGGGCAGCTTTGGGAGGGCAGGGGGCTGGGGAGGTGGGGAGGCTGAGCACCCCACGCCAAGCAGAGCCTGGCCTCCACGGGCCCCTGCCATGGTGTGTGTGCACGCGTGCGTGTGGGTCCGTGTTTCTGGGGCGCAGGTTTCTGGCTTTCCCTGGGTTCTCTCTGAAAGATGTGACCCGCCCCTCCCGCCACCCCTCACAAAATATTGAGTGCCAGCCCTGGAGAATGTATGGAGAGAGCCAATGGGGAGGGATTCCCCCAACCCAGCAAGACGGGAGGAGGCCCCTTCCTTCTCCTCTGATTCACCCCCCCACCCCCTCCCTGCTCTGGTCACTTGTCCTTCCAGCTTTCCAACTCCAGGCCGAGCCCCCACTTTTCCCCACAGACCAGAGTTCTCCTAGAAGGACTAGGGGCTACTCCCAAAGAGAAACATTTTAAACATGTATTTCTGATGATGGCCACAGCTGACGTTCATGGTAGCACGTGAGAGGGGGCTGAAAATCGTAGAGAAGAGAGAACCCCGATTCCTCGCTGAGGTGCTCTTTGTCTCCAAGCCAAGAGGAGTCTTCCCTTCTGCCGCCCGTGCGCACTGCTTTTCCTCAGTGCCTGCCCTTCACTCTGGGGGACCCCCCGCCCACTGCCCCCTCTTGCCCTCCAGCAGCCCCCCTCTGTCTCAGACAGAAGGTCACTGGGCAGATGCCCCACCCTTTGCCCCTGAACCAGGCCTTCACAGGACAGACATTGTCCCCAAGTTCCAAAAGCAAGGCAGGGCTGGCCATGCACTGTGGACTAACCCCAACTTGTGGGGCCACTGTCTGGAGTACTGGGGCACAGCCTTGAATCTTTGGCACCCCAAGGAATGCTTGGGTGAATGACTTCTATAATCGGGACTTGGCATTTACACTCGGAAGATACTACATCCACACCCCACTCTGGCTACCCAGTCAGCCCTACCCGGTCACCGCAAATGCCCTGTGTACATCCTTGACAGGAAGGACTCTCTGCTCTGAGCTTAGTTGCAGCCCCTCATCTTCTCCCTGACTCCACAGCCCTGCCTCTCCTCCACCTTATGGGCGGAAACAGTAGCTCCTCTTACTCTCCACTCTGGTGACGATTCCTCCTCCTCTGTGCAGATCTGTCATGTACATCTGGGCAGGTTGTGCACTGAACAACAGCACCCCAACTAAAGAGCTGCCATACACATCACCGGCATTACAGATCTGTATACTCATAAAGACAGTTTTCCAAAGGTGGAAGCAATGTGTCTTGTTCTAACAAAATCAGAATAATTTGACGACCTTCCAAAGATGAAGATAAGGTTGTCTCAAGAAATGAGACCCATTTTTCTAACTCTCAGAAGTTCGAGGACCAGCGATTCCTGAAAATCACTGGACTGTCCATTCATTCCGTCATTCACCCTCAGTCCCTCTGCTCTGGAGCCCTCGTCCGTGTTCACATCAGGATAGGACCAGCCGCAGACACTCACTCACACTTGCTCTGGGCCAAGCATAGACACCGGCAGCCTGGCTTCAGGGGCCCTGCTCCTGTCCATCCCACTACCTGGGCTTCCCAGCCTCCTGTCTGACCTTCCCCGACAGTAGCACCAGGGGCTATTAGAAATGCAGATGCAAAGACCCCAGCCTGACCCAGAGGCTGCATTCCTGCAGACACTGTGGCTGGAGTCCCCTGGGCTCCTCGCTGCAGAGGTTGTGGGTTCTACCGTCATAGATGGTCTGGCCATTGTCCGTTTGGTCCAGTCTCTTGGAGCCATGACAGAGCTAGGTAATCCTCAACAAACACCTGTTTGTTGAAGTGTGGAGCATGTGAAGCCTTCGGGCCGCCTCTCTCCCACCCCGCAAGCCCTTTCTGTGCCCCTGACCAGCCCTCCCGTTCCCTGTCTGCCTTCAGCTATCAGGCCACCTGTCCTTTGGGGACCAGCGCCCTTCTCCCCCACCACCCCCCCCAAGCCCCTTCTCAGGGCCATTCCCATCCTTCCCACTCAGCCCTCCAGCCTCAGCCCTCACTGGTCTGTATAATGCTTCTTTTGATCCCCCAAAGGATCCCCTGCCGTGGTCCGTGTGCCCGCTGAATGACAACCACACGGGCTATGACGAGGAGTGTGAGAAGGCATCCTCCACGCAGTACTTCTGGTACAGGAAAACCCTCAACATCTCCCCGTCCATCCAGGACAGTGGGCACGTGCAGTGGGAGCCGGCGCTCTGCCTCATCCTGGCCTGGCTGGTGGTGTACCTGTGCATCCTGCGGGGCACCGAGTCCACCGGCAAGGTGGGGACAGCAGAGCCTCTGCCCGGGCCTGGGCAGTGCCAATGGGGGCGGGGGGAAGCTGGGCTGGGGAGGAGGGTACGGACACGAATCACCTAGCAGGCCACCAGACAGTGGTGCTTGAAGTTGCAATCTTGAAAGGAGGACTTTCCCCCTACCTAAAAAGATGAGCATTCCTGCGCCAGCCAGCCCCACATCCATACCACCCAAGGGGCACCAAGCAACTAGGCAGTGAGTTTTCCCTTCCCTGGAGATGTCCCCAAGACGCCCTAGCCACTGGCCCTCCAACTTAGCTGCACATCAGTGTCATCCGGAGAACTTCTAGAACTCTGATGTCTCAGTCCTCCTTGCCCCCGGGAGGTCCCGGGGTCATGAGTGTGGGGAGGAACCTGAGCATCCGGGTGGTAAAAGCGCCCCCAGGTGATTCTAATCTGCAGCCGAGTCTGAGAACCTTTGCTCTCGGCTGCTGTCCATGACCCTGCAGAGCTGTCCGGCCTGACTGATGAACCTTCTCTCCTTAGTGCATCCCCAGGTTTATTCTCCTGCAGGGGGGCGCTGAGATGCTCTTTAATCTGCCCGATGGAGGACGTGTTCCCGCAGGCTCTGCAGCACCTGGCATCTTTCTGGAGCTGCAGCAGATGCCCTCCGCCTCCACCCCGGGGTGCTCCCCGTCCTCATACTCGGGCACTCGTCCTAGCCGATCCCCTGTGGGTTGGGCTTGCACCTTGTCTCCGTCTTGCGGGAGCCCTTCATAGTAGAGTTCATTATCCCACTCCCGTGAGGCATTGAGGGGCAGAGGGACCTACCCAAGGGCACCAACCAGTGAGGGCAGAGCCGGGGCAGACCCAGCTTTGCCCCTAAGACTCCCCGTCCTCTTGGTCTGGTGAGCTACCTCTGTTTGCTCTCTCCGTGCCTTTCGTGACATGATTCATCCCAGCTTTTCCCTTCCGAAGGTCCTGAGGCCACCTGTCCTCATCCTCTTGACCACCTGGGTCACCTCCTCCAACCCCACCGTGTTTCTCTTGAGGCAGCAAGACCAGAACTACTCGTGATATTTTAGGTACCCTGTGATGTCCCCAGCACTGGGCCTATCCCATGGCCAAGCTGAGGGACTAGTGAATCTTCTCTGGAAGAACTTAGAGCCTGGCAGCTACTCATTCCATCCCATCTTGAAGTTTGGCTCGTATTTTATGCTCATAAAAAAAATGTTTTTTGCGATTTGTCTTTGCCAGATTATTATGCACGTGACAAAAGGTCTGAGGGCAGCATCTGTAAACCTGGAGATTTAATGAGGCCATCTCTTTCGAGATCATTTATAAATGTGCGAAATGAGGTCATGTCATGCCATGAACTCTTATTTATTCTTACTATTTCCTCTGCTCAAGCCACACCCCCTCTCCATGCAGAAGTACCCCAACAGCTTCATTTACGGGGGAGTAATTCTGTTAAAAACTGTGTACTGTTTCCTGACTTCTTCTCTTGGAATCTGTTCCCCCCCAACACACACTCCAAGAGATGTCATAGATGGGTCAGAAATGGTTTCTCCCGATGGTGTAGGCTGGGTCACATGTCCAGCTTCCCTGATGGGGGAGAAGTGAGCCCAGAGAGCCTTCCAGGAAACTTACTGACCTGAGGGGAAGGAGGGAAGTTCCAAGGGCCTGCCTCAGTATCCCCTAAGTGTCCACCGGTTATGGACATTGGTTATCCCTCTCCAGTTGCCCTCAATGTTCTTAAGCTCATGCCCGATGTCCTTGTCCTCATTTGTCTCCATCTCGCTCCTGGATTATTTTCTTGTCAAATCAGCTGGCTTGATTACTCGAGTACAATGACCTCAGTGAAGAATCAGTGGTAAGAGACATGCCCCACCTCTGCCTGCTGTCCCCCGGGGTGAGAGGGCATGAACCGGTCCTCTGGTGGCCCTGGAAGTTTCCAGGGAGGCCACCAATGATGCCACACCTCAGCAGGAATAGAGGAATAGAGGGCCTAGTGCGATCCAGTCCAAGCCCACCTGGACACGGGCCTCCAACCAGATGTCTCACAGGAGGACCCAACCTTCAAGCCAACAGCTTTCGCCAAGAGAATTTTGCAAAATATTTCTGTGCTTTACATAAAGAGGCTCTGGTGCCCATATGAGTCGATTGAGAGACAAAGCGCCGGGCCCGGATGGACACACGTGCACCTGCAGGTCCCTGTTTGACGGCCGTGGGAGAGTTACCGTTAGTAGAGTTAGCAGGCCCGGAGTGTGGACGGCTGCCAACACCACCACGGAAACCAAGGACAAAACGTCGTCGAGCTTGTGATGCGTGTCAGCAGGAAAAGATTTGGTTGAACAAAAATTCCGTTCATGGGCAGTTTTAAAGACCGTGAGAGGGAAGCCTTTCATAAAAAAAATCAGATCATTGAGTATCTGTCGTATTTCCGATAGGAACATGGTCCCCACACCAACATCATCACTTCTCATCCAGGAGCCCTCATGGCCAGATTTCTCTCAGGTCTCAGTTCTAGAGAGACATGCCCTTGCTCCAAGCCCCTGAGGGGTTTTTTGGTTTTTTGGTGGTGGTGGTGGTTTTGGGGTTTTTTTGGGTTTTTTTTTTTTTTTTTTTGGCCTTCTAAAGACGATATTAAAGGTGTGAGTGACAGTGCTTTCTGTAGGGCTGGGGCCGCTAGGAAGCTCAGAGAGGAAAGAAGCTGCTCCCAAATGGTCTAGCCCTCACACATCCTGTGGGCTGCCTTTCCTTCTGGGCTCATCTTACTGGATCACTCACACGGTCTCTCATCTAGCAGTTAAAAATAGCGACGTGCTAGGTATACTCAAATCCTTTCTGGAGTAAGGTCCTGTCGAAGGGAGGGTGGAAGGCAGAGGCCTCGTACCCATTTTCCTCTGGTCCTACTGATGCAGATTTCCTGGTGGTTACAGAGGTGGGCAGAGGCATCCCAGCACCCCAGCTCCCAGCCCAAACTCAGAACCAGTGGTCCTGCCTTTCCAGCCGTCAGTAGCCTGAACGCCTGAGACGGGGGAATGTTCTGTGGGGACCACCCCCTGGGGGTCTGTCCCAGGGACAAAGGGGCCCGGTGGTGGCTGGCGGCAGGTCTCCCGGAGGCTGACGCTGCCCTCTGATGCCCTCTGGTACCCACAGGTGGTATACTTCACCGCGTTGCTGCCTTACTGTGTGCTCGTCGTCTACCTGGTCAGGGGCCTCACGCTCCACGGAGCCACCAACGGCCTGGCGTACATGTTCACGCCCAAGGTACAGGCTGGAGGGAGGGGGACCTGCCGTCTTCCAGGGTGGGTGTAAAGAGGGGGAGACCCAGGGAGGGGGGTGGGAGCCCACCAGGCTGAGGGAGCAGTGTGGGTTACCTATGGGTGCTGGGTCACCTCCTCAGCCAGGCCGGCCCCAAGCCCTGTTCGTTCTGGGGACACTGAGTCTTTTGTCCGCCCATCCTCCTCGTCCTCCCTGCACCCCAACCGACTGCTACCCGAGCCCCATGTCTGGCCTCCTGGCCCCCACTCTCACCTCGCACCCTCCTGGCAGCCTGTGGACTATGTGATTTATCATCCAACCACTTCTCTCTCTCCTGCCTGTGCACCTCCACGCACCCCTTTCCCTACAGGGGTGAATCCACACTCCGCAGGGTATCCTGTGATCCCTCCCCAGCCCACCCGCTCCCCTGCACCCCACGGCCAATGCTCATCCATCGGCAGGGTGTGTGGAGATGGTGCGGGGGACGGGGGGCACTACCGATTTTGGGACAAACAGGTTCTTCATTTAGCAAATCTGGAAACAAAATGACTGTGGCAGCGCCCCCCCCGCCGAGATGCCCCCCCACATTCCAGATGGCCCCCAATGTCTTAAATCACTTCACCCTGCTCTTTTCAATTGCACACGTCTGCGGGGAAAGGCGCTGTGGAGGATGGGACGTGAGCCCATGCTGCGGGCTCCTGGGGAGTGGCCGGGCTCCTGCGGGGGTTGGGGGGGGCACAGGCACGCTCGGTCCCCCTCGCCGGGCCTCCTGCCCCTGCCAGTGGGTCACAGGCTTGGTTCAGCAGCCCCGTCCCCTGCCTGGCTTTGCAGCTAGAGCAGCTGGCCAACCCCAAGGCCTGGATCAACGCGGCCACGCAGATCTTCTTCTCCCTGGGCCTGGGCTTCGGCAGCCTGATCGCCTTCGCCAGCTACAACGAGCCATCCAACGACTGCCAGAAGCACGCCATCATTGTGTCCCTCATCAACAGCTCCACCTCCGTCTTCGCCAGCATCGTGACCTTCTCCATCTACGGCTTCAAGGCCACCTTCAACTACGAGAGCTGCTTGAACAAGTAAGCCCGCCCCAGGGGGCCGTCCGTATGAGCCCCAGGCGTCGGGTGGGGGCGCGTCCCCCAGGCTCCCAGGGCCGCCCGGGAAGAGGTGGGCGCCGGGAACGCGAGGGGCGAGAGGCAGCGGCTGTGCAGCCCTCCATCCGGGGCCCCAACCCGGGCACCCCTGCCTAAGGGCTGAGGGCAGTGCAACAGACAGGCCTTGGTTTCTTCGGTGTCTCCCTGACCTCGGAAGTAACCGAGCGCTCCCTGGGTGAGCCGCGGAGAGCCCGGAATCTGCTCTCTGCCCCCTTCCCCTTACCCAAATCACGACAAACCTGATCCAGTCCCGTGCGGGAGTCACTAGCCACACGTGGCTACTGACAGATTGAAATGGGGATGGATTCACATAACTGATTCAGTTGATTAAATTTTAATCAATTGAAGCAGTTGTGATTTTAAGTTAAATTAAGTCAATGAATTAAATTTTTGTTTAAACTGATTTCCATTTACCTGTAAATGAATTCAAGTGGGTTTCTCAGTCAGACTCGCCACATTCAAGCACTCAGCAGCCCCCCGTGGTTGGTGGGGGCCGCACTGGGCAGCACCGACACGGAATATTCCCATCATCACAAACATTCTGTCGGACAGTGCTGGCCCGGATGTGAACGTGGCCGAGCTGGGTGGGTTGGTTTCTCATCCCCGGTCCTACTTGAGGCTCCTGCAAAGCCATTCAAACCCCCCCGCCACCGGCAAACTTTAAAAGGTCACCGGTCACTGATCAACAGAGTCCCTTTGTTGGCGAGACCTTGCCCGATCAGAGGGGAGGGACCTCCAGCATCCAGGCTTCAAGAGGGTTCCGTGACCGTGGCCTTTCTAATCATCGAAGGACCATCTGGTGCTCTGCTCTGCAGGGTGATTCTGCTGCTGACCAATTCTTTTGACCTGGAAGATGGCTTTCTGACAGCCAGCAACCTGGAGCAGGTGAAGGGCTACCTAGAGTCCACCTTCCCCGACAAATACAGCGAGGTGCTCCCGCAAATGAAAAACTGCAGCTTGCAGTCAGAGCTGGCCACGGTAAGGCGCGGGCCAGGTCTCCGCTTGCTTCCCTCCGCCGAGAGCTGCCCACAGGGACAAGTGCAAGCCGAGGAGGATTCTGCAGTCAGCCTTAGTGTTCAACCTGTGTGTCATTTCCCAGAGGTAGTGACACCTTCCTTGCAAATGCCTAGGCCGCTGTGAGTGTGCGGGGGTGGGGGGACCTGCCGGTTCATACCCAACGGGAGGCCTTTGTCATTAACTTTTGTCCTCCCGAGTCCATCTGTGGGTGCCACATTTGAGGATCCCGGGGCCTGGAGCTGTTTCTGTCACGGTCATGCTGGGATCTCTGCTGTTTGGAACTGATGTAGCAAATTTCCCCTCCCAAATTTGTCCCATGCCTATTTAACTCAACCAAATCTGCGGTTCAACAGGATCTTGACTTCCCACCCAAACAGAACAAAGACCGTAGTGCCCGTTCATCTCGTCCCTCTAGTTTTAAATACCATCTCTGTCCGCTTCTGTCTTTTCCTCAGCGTTTGTCTTTCCCCGAGTGTTTGCCTTTTTACCTGTTCACCATTTCCTCCGGCACCCCAGACATCTCCCAGGATTGTTTTCTCCCTTAAAATGCATTCCTTTAGAGCAGATTGTTTTTTTACCCCTTTAATTTTAATCCCAGTATAATTACAGGGCTATATTCATTTCAGGTATACAGCACCTGTTTCTTGATGATAAATTTCCTTGGGTATTGTCTGTATGCAATGTCGATATTCAGTCCACTCTTTTGAAAGACTGTCTCCCCCGCGTGGAACATTCCAGGTTAACAGTTATCATCTCTGGACACTTCAGAGATGTTTGCCATGGGATTCTGGCTTCCACTGTTGCTCCTGAAATGTCCTGTCCTTCTTGGAAGCACTCAGCTGCCCAGTGCTTTTGCTCTGATTTCTCTGTGCCCTTCCTGTGGACTCTGGCCTCGGCCACCTAAGCGCGGATGTATTTTTTATTTATCCAATGTGGCTTGGGTGAGGTTGGGCTTCCTGGATCCACGGATCCATGTGTCTTTATCAGTTCTGGAAAATTCATACCCGTTACCTCTTAATCATTGCCTGTACTTCCGTGTCTCTGCTCAGAATTCCTTCCAGACCTTCGCATCCCACCCTGCGTGTCCACTCATTTCTCTTTTATCTTTTCCCAACTTCTTATCTTTTTTTTTCTTCATCATGGATCCGTTCCTGGGATATGCCTACCAGTTCCCTAATTTTCTCTTCAGCTCCAAGTGGCATTTAGCTGTTGATGGAGCCTTTCGGTTCAATAATTTGTTAGACACGATTTTTTTCCCTCAAATTTGCTTTTCATGCTAATAGATTCTTGTGATATGTTTATCTTGGCAATTTTATCTTCTGCTTCTTGGAAAAGGTCGTACATAGCTGTTTTAGGGGTGGCCTTGAGCAGGAGAGTGACGGCAGTCTGTTTTGTCATTGGCACTGTCGAGAATTTGTTGGCTCATAATAACGATAAAAAGCAAGCCAACTTTAGCAGGTTTCATTACTGTTTGTAAATTCTCTGCAAAGGATCACCCCCTATTGTCTGCACCCAGAGCCGGCGAATCCCACTAAGCTTATTGGTCTGCCATGAATCTGCCAATCTAACCAACATCTGCCATCTTGGGGAATTATTCCCACTGATTCTTTCCTTAGGAGCTTGTCTTCTTATGGGTTTATAAATCTGTTCGCAAGCTCGCTGCTTGATCCTCCCTGGTGGTCCCTCGGGTCTAAATTGGGGGAGCTTGACCCAAGAGAGGGCTTGCTTCTGCGGCTGGTAGCCAGGGCCCCCCCCCCAAACCTAAGACCTCTTTCAACCCTCTTGGAGGGTTTGTCTTAAAGCAGGAGCTCCAGGCTCTGTTTCCACAAGTCGAATCCCCACCACAGTGGTATCCTCCGTGGATCTGGCCACAGAGCAACCCCGCCCTCCCAGCTCCCGTGGCTCCACTCGCCCACCTTGCCTCCCAGCCACTGAGGCCTCAGAACGCCTCGGTGGTCATGATACTGGAAGCAGAAATTATCCAAACCTTGTTTTGACTGTATTTCGTCCAGAGTGGATGTGAGTTGGCGCCAGAGAGGGGAGCTCAGTGTTCCGAAATGACTGAAATGTCTCCTCACACTTTGCAAATACGGGCTCCTGACAGCTCACACTTCTACCGAGCCCCGCTAAGCCCGAGGGGCCGGTGTGCGGATGGCAAACCCAACCTCACCATGTGGCTTCTCCTGGCCACCTCCCAGGTCCCCCACGTTGCTTCGCATCGGGTGTGCTTAAGGAGTCCCAAGCCCCTTGGGGGTGTAACTGCTGTCTTCTTACCACGGGCAGGCGGTCCAGGGCACTGGCCTGTCTTTCATCGTCTATACCGAGGCCATTAAAAACATGGAGGTGTCCCAGCTGTGGTCGGTGCTCTACTTCTTCATGCTGCTGATGCTGGGCATTGGGAGCATGCTGGGGAACACGGCGGCCATCCTCACGCCTCTGACCGACAACAAGGTCATCTCCAGCCACCTGCCCAAGGAGGCCATCTCCGGTGAGTGGGCCCATCCGTGGGGGAGGTGGGGCTCAGGGAGGGCCGGGCCTGGGGCGCAAGCAGATGGAGGAGCTCTGTGCTCATCAAGGTGGCCACCTTCCGGCGGGCCTGCCGTGGTCTCTCCTCCTCGGGGCCATCTGGGACTGGTGCGCATGACTCTCCCGTGCCTCTGGTTCTCCATCACGGGGAAGCTCGGTGGCCACCCAGCCTTGGGGAAGGCCAAACCCACCAACATGGGGCTCAAAACTCTTCAGGCTAGGAGGGAATCTGCCTTGGTCTTTGTTTCAAATGAAGTATAACAATTATAACATGTACATTTCTTAAACACAATCTCAGTGATTTTTACATGTTTCCACCCAAGTAACCACCACCTAAGTCAAGATGCAGAGCATTTCCAGCACCCCCAAGAGTCCCTCCCCACCCCTTCCCAGTCAGTATGCCCCCAACCCCAGAAGCCACCTCTCTCTGACTGCTACCACTTTAGGATTGTTTTTCCCACTCTTGAACTTCATATAAATGAAATCACACCGTCTGTGCTCTCTGTGTCTCTTGTCTTCACCAAACTCTGGGCGGTCCACCCCGTTAGTGCCAGTGGCCGTCAGTCTGCCCCTTTCCCGCCTGCGTGATAAAAGATCCCCTATAAGACCATCCACGCTGGGGGGCATTTGGGTTGCTAGGGAAGGAACCTGTATTTCTAACCACCCCCTCCCTGCTTCACACCACCATCCATCTGCTCCATCATCCCACCTGGCGGTGTCTGGGGTACCCAGTGGCTCCGACCCCTGCCCACAATGACGCCATCCCACCACATCTACAATGCCCCTTCTCCCAGCCCGAATCCCACCCAGCTCCCATCCCATCCCCTTAAAGTCCTGACCAGCCAGGTAGAGCTGCTCACCCTTTGTCAGAGCCCTCGAGCACTGAGCATCGCTCCTCGCACCTGGTCTCTGTAGCTGCCTGATGTGTGCCGTTAGCCCCCAGCCAGCACGTAGCCCCTTCTCCTGGTGTGTCCCCGCAAGATGGCACGGGGGCTTGGTGACTGGTGGGACATGGTGTGGCAGTGGGGGGGCAGGTGGGAGCTTGAGAGTCAAATACTTCGTGGGGCCCCTGGGGGAGTCAGCCAGTGGAGACTGGGACAGGAACCTGGGCTCTGGAGGCAGAAGGGCCTCCATCTGAATCCCGACTCCACCACTTCCATGCTGTGGGATGTTGGGCAAGTTCCTCTCTGAGCCTTGGGTTTCCCGTCTGTGAAAGGGGGCTCCCCAGGCTATTGGAGCCCATACATGACACATGCCAGGGGCAGGTATAGTGGGAGCTGGGTGAACATTCCTGTCTTCCCCTCCCCTCCCTGCTCCCTCTTCTGGCCAGATGTGAGTTCTCTCTAGGAGGTCCTGAAATGGGTGCCCCGATTCACCTCCCGTAAGCTCAGAGGCTGAGTTGTTGGGGTAAACAGCATCACCAGACCCACCGGCAGGGTGGGACCCCCACCTTCCCCCAGACAGCAGTGCCCACATCTTTCTCTTTTCCACTGAGCTTGACGCCCCCCGCAGGACAGCTCCCTGAATTGACATCAGTGACTTGTGCAGACACACTCCTTGGGACACCACTGTTGCCCCCCGAACACACACACCTGTGGCATACACAGACAGAAAGGCCAGTCCATGGCCGAGTCCCCTTGGGGTCTGTGGCTCAGCTGGGGCACAGGAAACTGGCTGAACGGGTGGGCGTCTCAGGCAGGTGAGCGTGTGGTCTTGTGGCCCCAGGTCTGGTGTGCCTCGTCAACTGTGTCATCGGCCTGGTGTTCACCATGGAGGCCGGCAACTACTGGTTCGACATATTCAATGACTACGCTGCCACACTGTCCCTGCTGCTCATCGTCCTGGTGGAGACCATCGCCGTGTGTTACGTGTACGGGCTGCGGAGGTGAGGAGGCCCCGCCCCCGACACCCGCCGGGGGGACGTGCCCACGAAGGCCACGCCCACAACGGCCACGCCCACAAAGAAAGCGGCCCCTTCGTACGGGCGCTTCACTTTTCCAGCTTGGCATTGCTTTTCCCTTTGCCCAGCTAATTCTCTGCCTCATTCCCACCTTCAACCAGTATCTCCTCTCTCCGCTTTCTGTATTTTTACTTTTTATTATAGGATGTTCGCCTGTTGACCCTGCAGCGGCTCACTGAGGCAGGGAACCGTGCCTCCAGGCACTAGACACTCTGAGCATCGGTAAACATCAGTATTTTTCCAACATGCTGACCAAAGTCCAGCTGATACACCCTAGAAAATGTGGCAAATTCAGGATGTCAGGTTCCCGGTCCCAGGGCACGATACAGCACTGGAATGTTTTAAATCTCCCCAGATAATGCAATGTGCCGCTGGGCTGAGACCAGGGGTCTAGAGCGGCTCCCAAACTCGAGCGTGGAGGGCCAGTTCTGACACTGACCGCTGGGCCTCACCCCAGGGCTCCGATTACGTAGGTGCCGAGAGCAGCCCAAGGACTCACGTTGCTAAGGAGTTGCCGGGGGTGTCAGGGGAGCTCAGTCGGAGAACCACTGGTCTAGAGAGCCTTGCTGCCCCAGGTGTGGTCCCAGAGTAGCAACCTCAGCATCATCAGGGAACTTGTTGAAAATGCGGGGGGGATCTCGGGCCGCCCAGGCCCACTGACTCAGATCCTACCTTCTAACATGGGAGGGGCCCGAGGCACATTACACTGTGGGAAGCACTGCTCAGAGGTGAGCCGATTACAAAGGTGTGTCACGTGCTGCCCCCCACCCTCAGTCTTTTCTGATCCTCCCAACTGGTTTGGAGGGTGGTGGGAATGGGGAGGACCAGCCATAACTCTAGAAACCAGACCCGCTGAGCCACGTTTCCCACCGTGTCCCTGGAAGCTCTGGGGTCTGCTGTCACACCAAGGACTTCCGTGATCAAATAATTTCGGGACATCACAAGTTAAACAAAACCAACATTTCTTTTCTATAGGACTTCTTGGAGCCTTGAAGACCATTGTGAATCTCAAAAAGGGGGTATAATGTGTAGCACTTCCAAAACGTTTTTGGTCAAGAAAGACTTTTGTATCCATCCCTCCCATTTGCTACCTATCGAGGACACTGGGGTTAGAGTGACTCATTCTCCCTGTTTCCTTGGGACCGAGGGGTTTCCCGGGATGTGGGACATTCGGTGTTAACACTGGGGACGTCCTGGGTTCACCGGGACAAGTCGGTCACCTAGGAAATGGCAGTCTAGAGGGAGAAACAGATCGGTCCCCTGCGACGGTAGGTGTTTCCCAGGAAGAGAGAAGGTTGAGGAAAGAGGACCAGAAGGCAGGGCCCAGGGGAGGTGCTAGAGAAGGGACACAAGTCCATGCAAAGGGCGGGGTGCTAAGTGGTGAGGGCCGGAGGGAGGAAGAAACTGAAGGTGTCTGGCAGAGTTTGTAATGTAAGGGGCAGGATCCGGGAATGGCCGGGAGAGGGCAGTCCCTCTGCTGGCCCAGGGGACAGCACCATCTAGTGACCGCCGAGCAACAGTGCCATGTCACCCTTTCTTCGGCAGCCAGCTAGCTCTCCCAGCCTTTCTCTATCCAGGAAGGGGGGGGGGGGAATGGGAGGGGACAGGGGATGTGAAAGGACAAAAGAACGTGTCATCTTGAAAATCCCAGGTATTCACATTAAGCACAGGAGCCTTCGTGGCCTGGAACCCAGGGTCCAGCCAGGTCAGCAGCAGCTGGAGGTCTGCAGGCTTCTGTGGGACAAGCCCCAGGCCCAAGTGTGGCAAGTGGCCATGGCTGCAGCTGGTGACCATCTCGCCTCAGCCCACCCACCCCGCCCCTCTCCATGCTTACTTCTCCCACCATGGAAAGCGGCCCCCTGGTTTGCTGCCCTGCTCTGTGGCAGCCTCAGCTCCTCTCCCCTCCCCACCCCACACACCCTCTCCCCAGAAGGCATCAGAGAGGGACCCCGGAGAGGTGATCATCGGTGGTGCACAGAACAGAATCTTCCTAAGCAAAGGGATAAAGGGATATGAAAGCCGGAGCCCCCCTCGCCCCAACAGCATGGGTAATCCAGACTTTCTCCCCATTTTCCAAATAGGTTTGAAGGTGACCTTAAGGCCATGACTGGCCGCACCCTGAACTGGTACTGGAAGGCCATGTGGGCCGGCGTGAGCCCACTGCTCATCATCAGCCTCTTTGTCTTCTACCTGAGTGACTACATCCTCACGGGGACCCTGCAGTACCAAGCCTGGGACGCCTCCCAGGTACCCTCCGTCTCAGGGCCCCCAGGCTCGCTCTCAAGCCCCGGCTTTACGTTTGCTGAAACCAAAGACCCATTTCCCTGGTGTGGGCAGGTTATTTGTCATGACGCGGAAACATCACCCAGGTACTGAAAAACACTCAGCCCAGGGCAGCAGAAGTGAGCTTTGGTTTTTCGACAGGTGCTCCAGTAAAGTGAGTAGGATTCCCTCCAGAACTTCCCAGGGGGCCTTTCCTGGAGGCCGGGAGAAGGTCTCCTGCACGGCGCTCATTCCCAGCCCGGGCAGCACTCTCTTCCTCCTCCTCCTCCACCCCAGGCCCTCTAACCTCTGCCCATTAGGCCTCCTGGGGGAAGGCAGAGCGAGCCTGGAGGGCCAGGCCCCTGAGCCCTGGAAGGGACACCGCAGGGGCCTGAGGGGACCCTGTTAGCAGTGGGGTGCCGCATCCCGGCAGGGCCCGGCTCCGTGTGCGGCTGGGACAGAACAGGCTCGCTCAGGGCAGAAGGACAGTGTGTCAGAGTCTCAACAGCCAGCCCGGGCTGTCCCTACACAGACGCGCTTTCATAGTGAACATGACCGACGGCGGCCGGAGGCGCCCCACCCCTGGTTCCAGCCGCTGGGCCTCTCCAGCCGTGGCCGGGGGACCGGGGAGTCTTCCCCAATCCATAGCAGCCTGATACTTTCGTAAGATGCAAGGACAGGAACCACTTGAAAAGTGAAATGAGAAAAAGATCTATAGAATACAAGCTCCAATTACTTATTATATTCAACAGACACAAGACGAAGCTGTCGAATTGCTACAACAGCTTCTAAATGTCACCCCTCCCCTCCCCAGTTTCTGCACTGGTCAGGACAGAACAAAAAAAGGGAAGAGATGAGCAACCCAAAGTCTGTGGGCGGGTTTCCCACACCACACTCTAAGCAGCATTTTGGTTTACAAACCACACTTGGTTGACAGCAAACACCCGCTTCCCCTGGACGGAGCTGTTCCGTGGCTCCCTCATGGAAAGGTGGCCTTTGTGGGCTTTTTGGCCTCATTTCTCATCAGCTTTAATGCGTGTGCATTCAGGGAAACATCCAGCAGCTAAATCCAGAGGCTCATCAAGCCTTCTCCTGACTAGGGCTGTGCATTCAAGATGGTAGCCAACAGCCACCTGGGGCTATTCACATTTAAGTTCATTACAACTCAATCAAAATTAAAATTCAGTTCCTCACTCTCACGGGCCACATTTCAAGTGCTCAGTAGCGCCCTGTGGCTGCGGCTGCCATGTTGGACAACACCGATACGGAACATTCCTACCCTCCCAGAAGGTTCTGTTGGGCAGCACTGGGCTGAGGTTAGCCCCCTTCCATGTAGGGGCCCCGAACGGCACCTCAAGTGGAAGGCCCTTGATGATTCTTGTGGTGACTCTTGAAGGGGAGCGGTACGCGCGATGGGTGAGGTGTACGGAAGAGGGCAAAGGCAAGGGGGACCAGTCTGCCCAGCACACTTGCTAGTGAGCTGCAGAACCAGGTGGCCCCTGACACCCCCACCGCACGCAGCCTCTCCGCCAAGCCACGCGCGGCCTGCCGCGGCCCCTCCTGCCGACCCTCCGTTTCTCCTTTCAGGGTCAGCTTGTGACCAAGGATTACCCCCCATACGCCCTGGCCGTCATCGGGCTGCTGGTGGCCTCCTCCATCATGTGCATCCCCCTGGTGGCCCTGGGGACTTTCATGGGGCGCTGCCTCAAGCGGGGAGACACGCCCCCCGTGGCCTGAGGACTGGGCTTCCGAGAGACCGTGGTCGGCTGCTCCCTGCCCTGCAGCTACGATTTACAGGCGGCATCTCCTTTGGCTGCTTGTAAAAATATTTGCTCCAGAAATACTCAGCCCGTCGTCTTCCTGAGTCCATCGAGAATTGTGGAGGAAGACGGCTCCCTCGGGAGGACCCACACCCCGCCCGCGGAGTGGGCCCTGCTCCCCTCTGCGTCCCCCCAAGGTCGCCCCGTGCTGCCTCCTTGTCACTAGAAATGCGGGCTTTTCAAGGCCAGTCTTGAAGACAATCACTTTCTTGACTCTAGGGAAGTCCTAGGATTAGGACACACTGTGAGCTGAAATTTGACTATAATTTTTACGGAATAAAATTTAAGTGGTTTTTTCCTTCTGAAGAAATCCCAAAATATCAGAGGGCAATTGTTTTTTTAGATCGGTTGGAAAAGAGGTTTTTTTCAAGTGCCTGAGATGACAGATCTGAATGTCACTGGTGTGAAATCAAGTCTCTCTTTTTTTTTTTTGAGTCACAGTGAATACGCAACTGCTGTGTTCTTCACTAACAAGACTGGCCACGCAGCAGGGAGGCCTTTGTTGGGGTCCACAGAGGGGGTCACTTCTGTGATCTGACATCTCTTACAGCGGGTCCAGGCCCGGTCCTCCCAATTACAGTACGCAACCCCAAACCACCTGAGCAGTCCGTGCAGACGGCCCCTATCCCGGGGTGTTGGAAAAGATGCCAGAGCCACGTCCAGGGTGAAAGTAAATCCAACTTTCCCATAGAAGGTGTTATATTTGGACATGGTGGCCAACTCGTTAGAGCAAAGGCCATGAACATCACTTACAATCCATTTTAAATTATTTGTACATAAGTTTTCTAGAGTGTATGCAACTCAAACAGAGCCTCTTGTAACTGAAGACACCATATTTATGATATAGCATCAGTGCACCATGCCCACGTCTCCTGTCTTTTTTTTAACCACAATAAGTAGGTCAAGGTTATCCCTAAGCGGATCCGGCCCCTTCCTACCCTAACATTCCGTGCTTCCCCGACATACAGGATTCAGGGACGTTTCTTTGGGTAGATTCGTACAAACATCTTCGAAGACACTTAAACACTCGTGTGGGACATCAGTTGGAGGTTTTTTGTTTTTTCTCTACTTCGTTTTCATGATCTAAGTGTCCTATATAACAAAAATAGGCATTAGGAAGGACTTCTGCCTTTTTTATAGCCATCTTACCAATATTTCGCAGCTTCACCTCACGGCCAGTTATAAAAAGGTCGCCTGCCTTTAAAATGTGTGCACCAGCATTTACTAACCACAAGTACCCAGTCCTCTGATTTCTCATCAGAGAGTTCAGTGTCGACAAACCTTACCTACCAGGGCTTGAAGAGTTGGGCGCACTCCATGTCAAATACAGGGCACAAATACACGGTTCCTGAATCCCTACAGAGAGGACCCCCCCGCCGAGCCCACAGGCACGGTCACGGTCTTAACAACCCTGGCCGCCCCTCCTGGGGTCCGGCATCAGCAGGGGTGTCAGCCCCAAATGCCAAGTATCCTCAGGACCGTAGAGGCCAACACTGCCCTAACTCATTCCTGTATTCAGTTACCGTGTCACTGCTTCTACCCCTGGCCGCCCATCCGAACCACCTGTGAGCGAGCCTTGACATCGCCCCGTGCCCACCCAGGCCCCGCCCAGAGCCAGCCAAACCCGAGGGCCAGGGCCCCACGATGGGTCGTGCATTTAGGAATATTTACATCAAAAATGACCTTGAAACGTTAGAAAGCATTTTTGAGCCCTTCAACTGTATGGAAAAGCCACTTCTGCAGAATAATTTTTGCGCCCCAAAGTCGGACAGATGAAATCACGCTGTTCTAGAATAATGTGCTCGAGATGAAAAGGCCTCGGGTTTTGATTCAGTTTTATTCTGGTTTCTGTGAACTTCATGAAGAGCAGAATAGTTCTCAAGCATCCTCTTGAACCCGTAGTTAAGTCCTGTCTCAAAAAATCCTTGGTTGACCGTTTTCTAGGTACTGCACGAAAGTGGTCATCTGGTGTTCGTCCACCCTCCTCCCGGAGGGCTGGAGGGAGAAAAGGGACGTTCCATCCCTGTCCACGTAACAGTCACCAGGATGCCACGGCCAGATCGCGGGCTCCAGGGAGCTTTCTATTAATGCTGGAGGCATAATGGCCCTTGGCTTTGCTCTACGCAATCAGGGAGGGAAACAGCTGGGTTTTTAGCAATTGTCCTCATAAATAAAACCCTACACAAGTGTATCTGTAGGTTTTTGGTCATGTACTGGCTGTGGTTTTTTTTGTTTGTTTGTTTTAAAGATTTTATTTATTTATTTGACAGAGAGAGACACAGCGAGAAAGGGAACACAAGCAGGGGGAGGGGGAGAGGGAGAAGCAGGCTCCCTGCAGAGCAGGGAGCCCGACGTGGGACTCGATCCCAGGACCCTGGGATCATGACCTGAGCCAAAGGCAGTTGCCCAACCGACTGAGCCACCCAGGCGCCCCTGGCTGTGGTTTTAAGAGCTCTCTCTTCACACAAGATTTCCCTTCATTATGTAAACAGACGAGCCGATTCGCAAAACATGGCCAATAAAGGAGGATCCACCCAGCGTCTTGTTTCTGTCACCTTCCCCATGTCTCCCCCATAGAGCCAGTGAAGCCCACTGATGCGGTCGGTGTACAAAGACCCTCACGTGATGGTTAGATTCCCTAAGAAAAGTCAGAAAAATTATGTCTCCCTTGGTATAAAACAGGGTGTGAGCTCAGAATCTTCTCAACCCCGCTGAGAGGTGTCCTGGGCAGCCTGCCCGTTTCAGGGTCTCTCTCTGGCTGAGGCCACAAGAAACCGCAGTAGGCGTGAGTGTGTCCTTACAACTGTCCTAGGGGCAGAGGGGCCATGTGCAAACTACTCTGTTCGACCTCTGCCCAAGTTCCGTAGAAAGATTAATCTGTGGCTGTTCTACTTGACAGGAGAGCTGGGGCAGAGAATTAACCCCCCCATCAGTTTCTACTCGACATTAGTCAGGGGAAGAAAAATAAATAACAGATTTAAACAAACACTTGTAAGGTCAAAACGTTATCGACAAATAGGAAATTCTTAACCAGAATGTCCTGACCAGTATCAGACATGGGCACCACCTCTCTTCCTGACCGTGGCCCTGCATAGTACCAGCCTTCATTGAGAGCACCAACTGCATTACAAACCAGTCCCGGGGTAGGTGCTGGGGATGGTGCTGAACAGAACAGACACGGTCCCTGGCCTTCATGGCACTTACATTCTGGGAGGGAAGAGTGACGATCATGGGTAACAAATGAGTACAGAATGTGATCGTTTCTAAGAAGGCAAGAAATGGGTCGAGGGATGGTGTGAGAGGGATATTACTTCAGTCAGGTGGTCGAGGAGGAGCTTTGAGGACAGAATGTCTGTCTAGGCAGAGGCAACAGCACGTGCAAAGGCCCTGAGGTGAGAAAGAGCAGAAAGGAGGCCAGTGGTTGGAATGGGGAGAGTGATTGGAGGGGGGCTTGGAGGAGTGGGCAGGGTCAGGTCAGTAAGGCCTTGTGGGCCAGGCAAGGGGCTTAGATTTTCTTCAAAGAGCAACAGAATCCCACTGCGGGTTTGACATGGGGGCCCTGCCCTGCACGATCTGTGGGAGAAGATTTATATAGCACATATAACCAACAAACAACTCTCTAGAATACAAAGAAGTTTACAACAAATCAAGAAGGACAGACAGTCTAACAGAAACTGGCAGAAGACCTCAACAACGCACAGAACGGGAACACCGAAGACCAAAAAAAGAATGACGAAAAGATGCTCAGGCTCATCACGGATTGGAGAAATGCCAGAATGAGATACCACTTTATACCTCCCAGATGAAAAAATTAGGAAGTCTGGCATACCGAGCGTTGGTAGTCACGGGGAGCCACTGGGCATATAAATGGCACAAGCCATTTAGAACACGATTTCATGTTATTCTTGTATATTTCCGGGCAGAGAACAGGGAGAAACACGCTCCCACGTGAGCCAGGAGGCGTGGGGAAGGCGCGCAGCCGTACGGAGTGCAAGAGCTACCAACCAGAAACCACCGAAATGTCCATCAGCATCAGACCGGACCAGACCGGATAAAAAGAGAAGCGTGATCTCTAAGTCCGGATGAACACGGAGACTGTCGTAAATTCATTCACTATAAAGAGACTGGCAGGAAGGGACGACAGCTGGGACCACCACCACGGAGGAGAAACACCAAGCTGAGTGCGCACACAGCGACACGCCTGTCCAGGGATCCACGGATGTACTCGACCAGTAAGGCGTGCGGGGAAATGTGAAGCAAGACGAGCAAGCAAGGCCCGTGCTAACCCCTCTGCGAGGACGCAGGGGTGGCCCTGGGAAGAACACGGGCCTCCGCAGGGGCAGGGCTTGATCGCCCCCATTCTGTTACGGGCCCCTAAAGCACAGGACGGAGGGCAGCGGCGAAGCTTTAGACTGAGCCGAGGTACTGAGCCGAGGTACTGAGCTTCTACGGCACGGCGCCTTCCCCCCTAGCGCTCCTTCCCCGGAGGGCAGGGAGCCCGGAGCCGGGCAACAGCGGGGAGGTCCTCGCACACTGCGGTGTCTGTCGCCTCCTCCTGCCTCCCCACCCCCTCCTGCTTCCACTTCCTCCCTCTCCCTTCTCCCCTGCCGCCCGCCCCCTCCCAGGTGAGAGCAAGCGGCTGGTGACGGAGGGCCCCGGCCTCGGAGCCACCCGGCCAGTGCCAAGTGCAGCAGAGATGAGCGATGCCCGCGAGGCCCTGCCCAGACTGCAGGGTTTTGTGAGCAGAACATGGTATCGCTGTTCTGCGCTGCTGCAGCTAGTCTGCCACGCGGAGTTAGGTGACCAGAACCCGTCGGTCCTGGCCTAAGCTGCCCCGCCTGGCAGGAGGCCACCGGGCTCTCGGGGCACCAGCCCGGAGTCTCGCTCCTCACTGGCTAAGGCAGCCAACTTCTAAGATGGCCCCAGGGATGCCCACCTCCTGGCGCTCGTGCCCCCGTGTGGTCCCTCCCCTCCCCTCGCATGAGCTGGATCCACTGACTGGTTTCGAACCCACAGAGAACGGCAGACGTGATGGGGCGACACTCCCGAGACTAGGCTACGAGAAAGACTGGCGTTTCGGTCTAGCTGGCTTCCATGGGCCAAGCAGCCGTGCTGGGGAGCCTCACGGGGCAACGGACATGAAATTCTAAAAACTTACCCTAACGTATCCTTATTGGGATACTTTCTTCCGACATCAGGACTCTTGGATGATAAAACCCCAAAAGCCTGATTTGTTTAAGCCGCTTCCCCCCACGCCACCCGCAGCGCACCTCCAATTCCAGTCCTGACACCACGGTACATCCCAGTCCGTCAGGACCGACGCATCTGCGTCACATAACTCTGGGGACCAGCCCCACTCCTCCCGCCCCCCACCCCCTGGTCCCAGAATCCTCACCGGGACAAAGCTTGTCATTCGGAGCTGCAAATAAGAGCACAAACAGACGCCGTGGGTAACACACGGACTAAGATCTCATTCGTACTGAAGTAAAACCAAGCAATCAGAGCATCGGTAACCTTCCTTTTCGCCCCATGGCGAGGAAGGAGCTAGAGGTTACCAGGCGCAAAACACAGATTAGTGTATCGGAGGGAAGGACAGAAGGTCACGGGGGTGGGTGGTAGAGAATTCCTGAAAACCCCTTCGCAGGAAGCCGCTGGGGTGGCTCCTATTCACCAGCCTGGGCAGGAAAGGAAGCTGCTAGAGCCCATGCAGAGAGCCGACACCAGGGACGGGCCCGACACAGCCTGAGGCGGCTCTGCTCGGCTCATGAGGGGGACGGCAGACTCCACATCCCATCTCCAAGGACTTTTGCCTCACTACCCTCCACGTGGGTGGAGGCCTCCCAGGTCATTCCCACCTTGTCCCGGACACATTCCGTGGCCCAAGAGATCAGGTTTTTTTTGTTTTTTTTTTTTTAAGATTTTATTTATTTATTTGAGAGAGAGAGAATGAGAGAGAGCACATGAGAGGGGTTAGGGTCAGAGGGAGAAGCAGGCCCCCCGCCGAGCAGGGAGCCCGATGCGGGACTCGATCCCGGGACTCCAGGATCATGACCTGAGCCGAAGGCAGTCGCTTAACCAACTGAGCCACCCAGGTGCCCTCGAGAGATCAGTTTCTAGTGAGCAACACTCCCTCTGCCAAGGTGAGACCTGTATCCTTTTGAAAAACTAACTTGGGGGGAGGGGTCGGATGCAGGGGACATCTTTTTATGGATGTCACACTTTACTAAATATTTCCCTGGTTTTATCTTTAACTAAAAAATAATTACACAGACGGGGCGCCTGGGTGGCTCAGTTGGTTAAGCGACTGCCTTCGGCTCAGGTCATGATCCTGGAGTCCCGGGATCGAGTCCTGCATCGGGCTCCCTGCTCGGCGGGGAGTCTGCTTCTCCCTCTGACCCTCCCCCCTCTCATGCTCTCTCTAGCTCATTCTCTCTCAAATAAATGAATAAAATCTTTAAAAAAAATAATAATAATTACACAGACGAACACAATTTCTCAAGTGATAACTGGAAAGTAGGATTTCAGAAGCTATGGATTTTCTTGCTTACTTACACTGTCTACTCTTCTATAAAGCCCCTTCATGCACTGCTTTGTTTGAGTTCTAAAATTCTAAAATAAAGGGGCACCTGGGTGGCTCAGTCGGTCTGCCTTCGGCTCAGGTCGTGATCCCGGGGTCCTGGGATCGAGCCCCAGGTCGGCCTCCCTGCTCCGCGGGAAACCTGCTTCTCCCTCTCCCACTCCCCATGCTGGTGCTCCCTCTCAAATAAATAAAATCTTTTAAAAAAATTACAAAATAAAAAAAGAATATCCCTTTCAAGACAAAGTACAGGAATGATACCAACGGTGGTTAGAAAAGAGTATGACATTTATTTTCACTTAAGGATGTACAGTACATGAATTTAGAAATCACAGCACGGCAGGGCTCTGAACACGGACACCTGAGGCTCTGACAAGCCAGCATCAGTCCATCGGCTGCGGAACAGCCACCCGAGCGGCTCTCACTTGGTCTTTGCCGTGGCTGTGGAAGTCAGGTCTTCACGTGAAATGTCCGGGAGCACTTGAGTAATATATTGCAGTAGACATGAACCACGTTTCAAACATTTCATCTTTGGAACAAATTATGCTTATTTACATGTTAAGAACAGGTAGTTCTAATTATTTACCCTACTGGGAGTTTTAATGACTGATTTTAAGCTACAGAGGGCTTCCAGCTATTCTCCTTTAGAGCTTCTAGAAGCAACAACTCTTATTGTTTAAAAAAATAATGTTGAAAAAAAAAGTGATGTTGAAATAAAGGCGCTTTGAGAGATATTTAAGGACCACTATTGAAAAAAACTGTACATATTTGCAAGCACAACACAAATATTGTAGCAGTATTTAATCGGTTTTAAAATAGTGGCAAGTATACTACTCTACACACTTTTCTAATATTTAAACTTCATAATTACAGTTTGAATATACAGTCCAACTTATAATTAGAACTATGCACAGCTTCTAAAGCGTATTTTTCAGGCTTGTTTTTGCACATAAATTAACAATGAAGTTGGTCCTTGATTTGGAGAACTCTAACTACCGGGAAGCACTAAATTTCAGACACACTTATTGATAGAATAAAGCTAACAAAAACCTTTACAGAGTGAGAAGCGCTGACGGTGCCACGCATGGAGCCTCCCCAGGGCTCGCGCGGCTCGATGAACGAACCCCAAGGGAACGCCACAGCCGGGAGGGGGAGCCGACCAGCCGAGGGTCTTTTCCACGCTGCGGCAAATCCTTAAAACAGAGGCGGCTTTGGACCTTTAGCATAAGACACAGACTTTACATTCTTTGATTTCATTTACACCTTTTAAAAAAGATAAATCCTATCTGAACTTCTTTGCACTCCAGTTCAAGCTGAACTCAAGAGGCAGCCCAACCGAAACCCCAACAGGACGCCAGACCCGGCTCCCTTCTCTGGCTGACTACCTGACGTCTGTGAGAGACTCCCGCCTCATCAACACAGGCGTGTTAGCTTATCACTCATCTCTTAGGAAAAGCCCAAAGATGTGTGGGGACGTCTGCTGGCGAACAGCAACTGCTTCTACAGTGACAATAAGGAAACTGAGCTAGAAAAATAATTTTACCATTTTAAACAAGGAAAGAAGCTAGAGTTCTTAAATATATTACTTATTCTGCAAGAGTTGATTAAATCGACAAGGAATAGATTCCTTCCGTTCCAGGAGCTGGATTCAGGTGACCTTTTAATTACAGAAGAGCTTCCAATTATAGCTAGAGCCCCCCAGTAGTGAAGAGATGGTCAGGGCAGGAACACCGGGCCGACTGCAGGTCCCCCGCCCGGCACAAAGCAGAGGGCAGACTTCCGGAGAAAGGCTTTCGAAAGACCTCGGGCTGACGTGGAAAGCGGGTCAGTAAAGACTCCAGTTCTGCATAATGGAATCTTCCAAGCCAAGCCGCTTTCCACAGACACAAATTCAGTCCATCTTTTCTTTCTGGACCAATCTGGGAGCATCGACAAAATCTTTGCCATTATAAAGAATAATGAAAAATGTTCCAATGCTTGCAACTCCCCAAAAGAGCACATAGGCCAGTGTTTCTGTCCAAGTGTCACCTGTTGATATTAAAAAACAAAGAGTTGGAGCACCTAGGTGGCTCAGTCGGTTAAGCATCTGCCTTCGGCTCAGGCCATGATCCCAGGTTGCTGGGATCGAGCCCCGCCATCGGGCTCCCTGCTCAGCGGGGAGTCTCTGCTTCTCCCTCTCCCACTCCCCCCACTTGTGCTCTCTCTCATGCTATCTCTAATAAATAAATAATCTTTAAAAATAAAAAAAATTTTAAAAACCAAAGAGTTGATAAATAAAAATCATTTTATCGAGGGGCACCTGGGTAGCTTAGTTGGTTAAGCGTCTGCCTTCGGCTCAGGCCATGATCCTGGGGTCCTGGGATCGAGCCCCACATCAGGCTCCCTGCTCAGTGGGGGGGTCTGCTTCTCCCTCTCCCTCAGCCTTTCCCCACTGCTTATGCTCTCTCTCACTCTCTTTCTCTCTCAAATAAATAAAATTAAAAAACGAAGAGTTGATAAATAAAAATCATTTTATTGAGGGGCGCCTGGGTGGCTCAGATGGTTGGGCATCTGCCTTTGGCTCAGGTCATGATCTCTGGGTCCTGGGATTGAGTCCCGCATCGGGCTCCCTGCTCAGTGGGGAACCTGCTTCTCTCTCTGTCTCTGTCCCTCCCCCCACTCATGCTCTCTCTCTGTCTCAAATGAATAAATGGGACCCTAAAAAAAAATCATTTTATTGATCCCAGATCCAGCTTTCAGCTGCTTAGCAACATTAAAGTCTAGTGTTTAAACATTAAAGTTTAATCTTGACAACATCAAAGTTTATCAGCACATCTACAGGAAAAATACAAGAACCTCTCAATTAAGGTTAGAACAAGTGGTTCTTGAACTCTGGCTGGCGTTAGAATCCTTTCCAGGGCTCGATAAGACATCAGCTGCCGGGCAACCCTGGAGATTCTGACTCGGCAGGTCCGGGTGGGACCCAAGAATCTGCATTTCTAACAAGTTCCCAGGTAACATTGACGCCACTGGCCCAGAGGCCACAGCATGAGAACCATCTGACTGTCCTATGTGACATCACACAAATAATTACTTACTTTAAGATTAGGTACTTTCACATTAGAAGAAGCTATTAGTAATACATTCGCCACAATCAAAATGCCTACACACAAAAAAATAACTTTACAAAACATACATGCTTCAGAAAAGCTATGTATGAAAGCGTATAAAACAAAACTCAGGGACATATTTTAATGATCTACTTCACACGACTCTCCCGATCGGCACTTTTTGCAACGTCTAGAGTTCGTGAAGGTTAGTGGCAGCGGGAAAAGATCTACTTTGTTCTACTCCTCGCGCAGCTGAACCGAGTGCTTCTGCCCTCCCGCGCCAGGGGACCCACACAGAGGAGGAGACGGTGGGAGAATAGCAGGCTCCGCGCTCTTTCCTCATCGGCTATCGGGGTTCACGCTGCCCCTGCCCCCCACTCTCTAAAAACCCAAAGTACAGGCTGCAAATCAGACGCTACCCTATCTACACATCACAGCGCTCATCACCTTATGGCAACGAATGGACACGCAGTGCTGCCATCCACGGCGTCAATCTCTTCGTACACAAAACACGGACCAATTCACGTGATCGCTCGTGTTCACACCTTTGAGTTTTTAAATTCTTTTCGGACAAAGAAGAAAGGCAGTTCCTCACAAGCCCAACCGGGACCATCCCCCAAAGGAACTGTCCCGTTTGTTCAGGCCGAGCTCTCTGCCTTGACTTGCCTGCCTCTCCGGAGGTTCCACAGGGAAGCCAAGGAAACACAGAACAAAGTGACGAAACGAATTTCACGGGACACGGGCTCCCAGAAAGTGGCATCCACTAGGCAGTGTGTTTTAAAGCAGTCAGAGAGTCGAGGGAGCGAAGAGCGTGGCCCTCAGAGGAATCACGGGCGGCACGTGCTGGCTGGCCCTGTCCTCTTCCTTCCTGCCCCAACCCGGGCCCGGGACCCGACTTAACGCCACACAGCTCTGCCTGTGCTCCAGAGCCCTCAGCCTGTTTGGTACTCTGCGCTAAGAATGGTTTTTACATCTTTCAAGAGTTGTAAAAATAAACAATGTGCAACAGAGAGGATATGCAATTTGGGAAGTCTAAACTAGTTATTATCTTGCTCTTTACAGAGAACGTCCGCTAACTCCTGCCCGAGAGTAACAGGATGGCTCCCTCCCCTACGTGGTGACTGTCTATAGTGCTGAACCCCGAGGGGAGTATGGGGATTACAGAGAGCAACAGGCACCTACAGAGTCTCCCTTCCAGAATGCGCGTCGGGCGTGGGGTTAAGGGTCCCTGGCTCAGCAGACTTTTGCTGAGAGCTTATTATAGCCCAGACACAGGAGACAAAACAATGAGCAAGACACAGTCTCTGCCCTCAAAGAGTTTCCCATCCAGTGGGAAAGACAAATGAGTGTGCAAATCACGGCTCACGAAGAGACACACACTGGGGAAGCCGGGGACACTGGAGACGCACACCACCTCTGAAGAAGAGATCCCCAGGGGCTTATGCAGCCAGAGGACAAAGCGCTGTAAGAAAAGGACACAACGCTGTGGAGAGAAGGGGGTAAGGTCTGTGTGGGAGAACAAAGGGTCACGGTGAGAGGGGCCCATGGGAATGGGGCCCTGCCAACAGGCGGGGCTCAGACAAGACAGGCCCGAGTGCACAATACAGCCAACGCGCACGCTCCTGCCCCAGAGCTCTGAGGAATACTGAACGGAGATGCACTCATCCTAAACGCTCATGAACTTAGTAACACAGGAAAATACTGAGAGAAAAACAGAAAACCAGTAACGACCTTGTTAGCACAAGTTCCTATTAGGTAATTCTGCTCTCAATCTACTAAAAAAAAAAAAAAAATTTTTTTTTAGAGACGGGGAGAGAAAGAATCTTAAGCAGGAGCCCGGTACAGGGCTTGATCTCACGACCCTGGGATCACGACCTGAGCTGAAATCAAGAGTCAGATGTGTAACTGAGCCACCCAGGCGCCCCTCAACCTACTAAAATTTAATGATAAGTAGTGTATTAATCTATTAATAATATTTGTCTAATAATAGGTGGTTGGTTAAATAAACTATATATCCATAAATGGATTTTAATGCAGCCATTAAAAATAAAGAACACGGGGAAATGCTTATATTGCTCAGTGAAAACAGATTACAAAAAATACATCTTTCACTTGTGAAAAAATCACACACACAAAGATTAAAACATCAAAACGTTAAAAGTAGTTAGCTTATGTCTGGAAGACAGGATGATAAATAATGTTTTCTTCTTTCTTGCCTAACTGTATTTTCTATAATTCCTATGTGTTACTTGGGTGATAAGACAAAAAAAAAAAAAAAAAAAGTTTAAATCTTAAGTAAAAAAACTAAACAATTATCAGTGTATGTTCTTCCTCCGGTCACATCTAAGGACTAATCACATCCACTCACTTTGCTCACTAAATTTAAGGGGGAAACATCAAGTGTTGAGCAGACTCACAATCTCAAGATGCTGTATAAGGAAGTACCAGATTCTCAGAGATCAATGTGAGTCTGTGAGAGAAGGGCAGACTTACCGGCCATCAGCAAACAGATAATGCACATCGAGAAGGCAACAACCATGATAATAGGCAACTGAAAAGAAAAATGGAGAGACAAGCCATCACTTAAGAACGCTACTCAATGGTTCTGAAGTCAGTTGCACTTGAAAAAGAATAAAACCCTTCTGCAATCTAAAATACAAAATATCTTTCCCCAGCAAAACATCATTATTTTGGGGGTTCAACCACAGCTGCCCCAGTTTTCAGACTGGTTAGGTCACAACATCTGAGGAAGCACGGCTCTGGTCCAAACACAGGCATGCTGAGGGGGCTGCCCGAGTGAGAGGCCGGGATGCCAGCAACATTCGGGAACACTCTGCCCACTGGATGAGACCCCAGAAAGGCTCCTACAAAGTCTGGTGAGAAGAGGAGGCAAAAAGGAGAGAAGTGTCAAAAACACACTCTGCCTTCCATGTTACAGGATGGCCCCCAGCAACCCGATTGTGACAGGAGTCGAGTCTTCCAGAAACGAGAAACCTTCCACACTCCCTTTTGCTCATGTGTTCTCACATAAACCGACAGTGAAGTGTCACAGAAAACAAACGCCCCACGGTTCTTTTACTCCTTTCCTTCATCTTCTCCTCAGGGAAACAAAGTATTTACAGTCCATTTAGAACAATGTGTAAAGTTTTAAATCAAGGGGAGTCGGCACCATCTATACCTCCAGACATAATGCTTTTAAAAACTTGAAAAACGGGCACCGGCGTGGTGCACTCGGTTAAGTGTCCAGCTCTTGATTTCGGCTCAGGTCATGATCTCAGGGTCGTGCTCAGCAGGGAGTCTGCTTGAGATTCTCTCTCCCTCTGCCCCTGCCCACTGCCACTTGCACACTCTCTAAAATCAATCAAACAATCTTAAAAAAAAAAAAAAAAAAAAGGCTTGAAAAACATAAAGGTTTCTTACAGCCAGGAATTTCAAATCCCGTGGAACACTTAAAGGACTATGAGATTCTAATTCATCCACTGAGTAGTTTCCAAGAAACAAGTCTATGGAATCCTAGAACAGAGGAAGGAAATTAGTAACTCCCCAATGCGAAGTAATGATACGACCACACGAGGACCAAACATGAGCACCAAATACAAACCTACCTGCCTAAAGCCATCAGAGAAGTTGTTCTTGTAATACCGTATCAGGGAGTTCCAGCCATCCATTAGCAGTCCCAGCTGAGTTCTCTTCCCAGTTCTGGTTAAAAGAGTTGAATTCCGAGTTACAGATCTGTATATTAAACTCTCCCACAGTTTTGTGGCCAATCAGTATGTGGTATGGAGATAAGTGAGTTACAAAGATTTTAAAGATCACCCCTGAAAGCATAAAGGAGACACCTCACAAAGGAATCCTCTAGCGGGTCCAAGAAATATGCATTCTTTTTCTAAAATATTACCTAAGTGGGCACAAAGAGAAAAACACTCAGGGCCAGCGGCAAAGGTAAGAAACGTGAAGAGAAACACCCAGACCAGGTTAAGCAGCCAGAACACGGCAGAGACTAGGAATCTTAGTTTGCTCCCAGGGAGTCCCTATGGCAGAAAAAGACCCACATCTGTACAAATCCCCACGTCTTGACCTCTCACTAACCAGTGTGGTCCTGGAAAGCTGCACGGGCATCACCTGGCTGCTACCCCGAGGTTCAGGGTCTCAGCCCCGCCCCAGCCCGCAGTGACCGGGGTGCACCGCGAGGTCTGGGAGGGGCTGAGGGGCCGAGGCTGCCCCCCACGCGGCACAACTACCCAGGGAGGCTAGGAACCCTCCAGCGCCCGGGCCTCCCCTCCCAGCAAGCCTGACTCGACTGTGACCCGAGGCGCCGGGGGCTGGGGTTCTGCTGCGGCCCAAAAGCTCCTGGGGCATCCTGCCGGGACGCGAGACCCAAATATCTGCAGGGCTACTTGAAAAGCATGGCTTGCCTGGTAAAGTCCGTCTTCAAGGCACCAGTGCCCGCGTACTGTTTGGCACAAGCATTTGCGTTGTCAGCCCAGGCTGTGAACACAAGGAAAAGTCAGCGGACAGCGACTTAAGCGACAACCAGAGTTCCTAAACCCAAAATAGTTTATTTCACCATTTGAGCGACTCTGCCTCTATTGAGGAAATTACCCACCATTTTTGTAAGTCTTCTCAAATTCATTTTGTTCTTCAAGCTTCTGTCCCACATGCAAAACTCCTAGTCTCTGGAATAAGAAGCACACCATATTCGAGTGTAACCTATTTCAGCACACGCGATTCAGGACCCAAAGCAGACAGTCCCACATGGTATCACACGGTTCCTGGCTGCAGGCGGGAGATGTGGTCCTTGCCTGCGGGGGGGGGGGGCAGCTCACCATGGCCTCCCCCTCTAAGGACTCCTCCCCCCGCGCCCCAGCCCCGCAGGAACAGAGGGGCAGAAGGGAGAGCAGCGGTGGGACCCAGCCATTACCTCCTCCTTCCCGGCTGCCCCCCAACCTCCCACTGCCTCCACTCTTTAGCCTCCCCACCACTCGCGTCCCCGGGCTTCCCTCAGTCCCAGCCCTACCCCTCCTGCGGTCTAATGCTACACACCTACCTCCCCTCAAACTGCACATACACCGCGCCCTTTGCACATCATCTCAGAGGACTCCTGGACATGCTGAATCCCCCTATGGACTCCCCTTTGGGGGTCACTGGGCAAAGATTAGGAGCCCCTGCTTGGACCTCATCTCGGACCTCAACCACCTCAGAGCCCTCACTGTCACTGAGCACCACAGGTGACAGCTCACTATCTCTACCCCAGAACAGCACTCCCACCTCAGATAGTGCAGGGGCCGCCCTCAGTGACCCTTAACTGGAGGGGGGGGCACAACTGGAGGCCCCACCAGCTGACACCGACACCCCAAGACTCTCTGAAGGTTGGTTAGATTTTATACTACTACATTCAGCACACGAAAGAGTTAAGTAGAGATTCCAGAACCTAGTTAAATATTAAGGCTTTAGTTTATTGGGCTTGGAAACAACCATTATTACTACTGTTTTGTTTTTTTGCTACTATTGTTTCTATTAAAAAATATACCTTGAAGTCAATCCATCAGATTGAGGAGGACATGGTACAATACAAACTAGAGCTGATGCTCAAACAGGGAAACCGCTCCTTTGGCCTGTGTTACTTAGGATTCAAGGGCAATTTGTTTTAAAGGAGGTGTTTTACTTCCATAATTCCTTCCTGGTATCATAAAATTGTCATAAACAAAGCTGAATCGTCATAAACAAAGGTTACCATTTAAGCAAGAAACCATTTGGCATGCATTTTGTTTGCCCCTCATAATAAATGCCAATGTGATCTGGAAATCTGGGCTTTACGTTTTTAATTCCAAGTTAAACACAAGAAAGTATTCATAGTTATTTTTCTCAATAGCCCAATCGTAGTGGTAGAGCAAAGCTGTGTCAGAAACTTCCTACCTGAAGGTTAGTATCGCTTGCCAGTAATAAGAGAGATGCAAATGAAAACAACCTTGAGGTTCTACTCTTTACTAATGGGAAAAAAAGTTTTAAATAAAAACATCTCATGCTGGCAAGAATTCAATGACATGGATTCACTTATCATGCTCGCTGGTGTTAGTGGAAACTGTTATGACCCTCTTGGAAAGCGTATTCTCTTTAACTCAGTAAATTCCACTTCTAGCAATTAACCCAAAGGGAAGAATTCAAGTTAGTAACAACATCTGCAGATTGGTCTCTACAGTGCAATTTATAAGCCAACAATGTAGCAACTTAGTAAGTGCAACTCTTAAAACAACTATGGCTCCGTATATAATGCTAGAGGAAAAGACAAAATTAAAAACTATGTAAAGGGGTATCTGGCTGGCTCAGTCAGTGGAACACGCAACTCCTGATCTCAGGGTTGCTGAGTTCAAGTCCCGTGATGGGTGTAGAGATTACTTAAAAATAAAATCTTAAAAAAAAAAAAAAAGAACCCAAACTGCATACGCATACGCTGACCATAGGTATGGAGATGTGCACACCCACGGATGGAAAGACAAAAACACAAAAGCTGGGTTAGGGTGGGGAGCAACGTGAATGTTTTCTGTTATTTGCTTTTGTAATGCTTTTTGTTAAGGTTTTTAAGGATGCAGCCTCTTCCATTTTGGCCTCTATTGCTGATTTCGTAAAAGAGACAAAGCATGTGCACCTGGAGCTGGGCCTGCAGCGAGCGGCGGGCCAGCAGGCTCTGGATCACATTGGTTCTGTCTAGACAGTCCATGCAGTTGCTGCGGAACACACCCTCCTGGCTCGTCACCACCATGCCGGCCATATCCACTAGAAAATAACTAAAACATATTTGTATAAACACCCTCATACCGCAGTCAGGCCAACGCGCTGACCACCTCTTGTGTCACATACACCCCGTCGGTAACATTAGGGAACTGGCGCATTCAAAGGTCTGACGGGAAGTGTGTGGCTCAGGGGAATGGGATGACGAGAGAGCCAAAGAGAAGTCTGAAGAGCTGAGGCCAGAAGCAGGCCCCACTCTGACCCAGCTGTTCATCATGGTCCCGTATATCAAGATTTCTCGAAGCATGGGCCCTACACTGTCCGTATCAGAATTCCCTGAGCCGTGTGCTAAAAATGGATACACCTGGTCTTGAGATAAACTCAAGTTGGAGTCTCTGAAGCAAGGGCCGGAAATCGTGCATTAAGAACTTTTTAAAAACCTTTCTTAAAATGGGGCATATATGCAAATACTATGAAGTTTATAAGGTTCAACAGGGTGTTGTTTGAAAAATCAGGTTTCCTTTCTCCCCTTTACCACCCAGGTGTCTGCACTGGAGCCAACCATGGTCACCAGTTCCTGTGTTTCGTGAATTTTTAACAATTTCCTCAGCTAATTCAATGAACTCAAAAACTGGACAACGCGCAGTGTGGCAGGGAAGAGCACGGGCCCCAGCAGCAAACAACTGGTTTGTGAGCCTTAGCTCCCCCAGGTAACGTACCAGCTGCGTAACTTCAAGTAATCACCCTCATCTCCACAAACCTAAGTTTTTCACCAGTCGTGCACAATGCACAAATTGCTTAGCAGAGCGCATGGGACAGAGCACATGGTGAATGCCAGGGAATAGTAAATTTATTGCAATCGCTCCCCAAAATCAAAATGGGCAGGGAAACACAACAGATTTACTATGGGCCAAATAAAAATCATGACCTTAAAAGTTAAGGGCCTAGAAGAATGCGTTGAGGCTAAATATCTACCTGAGATTCATGCAGAGCTGGTGAGGTCCGTCTGGAGCTGGTGTGTGTACATACACGTGCATGAGTGCATGCAGGCTTTGGCACCCCATGAGGACTCAAAACATAAATACGAGGTATTTTACAAATGCTGTGTCTTCAACTATACACGGAGTCTACGAGGCAGGAACATTATCTCCACTTTACAAATGGAGAAACCAAGGTTTGAAGGTAACTAACTTGCCCCTGGGTCACATGGCTAATAAGAAGCAAACAGATTTCAGGGCGTCTGGGTGGCTCAGTCAGTTAAGCGTCCAACCCCTGACCTGCGCTCAGGTCATGATCTCAGGGTCATGAGACTGAGCCTCGAGTCAGGTTCCATGCTCAGCGGGGAGTCTGCTTGTCCCTCTCCCTCTGCCCCTCCCTCTGCTTGTGCTCACGTGTGCTCTCTAATAAAAATCTTTTTTAAAAAAGCAGCAGATTTCAAAATGAGGTGTGTCATACCCCAAAGCCCAGATTCTTTCCATTTCCCCCCAAACCCGTGGGGAACATGTCCAGAGAGGTCATGTGCAGCTCTGATGTCCCCATGGAACACAGCAGGTGGGGAGGGAGAGAGATTCTGGGGTCAATCCTCCTTTCTCAAACTCTTGTGTGGCAGCAATTAATGGGCAAACCCAAGGAGCCCCCTCCTCTGACAGTGTCCCAGGTCCAGCCGGCGTCACTCTAGCCCAATAATGACGTATGTCAATCCCCCCCTTCACTAGCTGCTCCTGACAAAACCTCGTAGAAAAAGAGCAGGTTTAACTAACTGTAGCTGACTACTTAACATGTATAAAATAGATTTCTAAATATTGGGAAATGCCTAGAGGAAAAGTTCTACTATGTTACTGTATAACTAACATGAAAAAGTGCCCGAGGGTTGCCAGGGTCAGAACTACACACAGGCAGAACATGACTTCTTCTGGCTTTAAAATAAGTAAAGACGGACATGTGCAGGTGACTGCAAACCCGTGAGCCAACACGGTAAGTAACACAGTAAACACGCACGGAAAGTACCATGAAGTTATTCAGACCCTTTGAACCATTAATCCTACTCTCAAAAATTTATTTTAGGAAATAATTTAACAGAAGCTAAGAATACATATACCCAGAGCGATTCATTGCAGCTCAGTCTTTTGTGGTAGGAAGAGAAAAGAAGACAGATGGCTAATATGAAAAAGAACATTTAACTGAACCTGTATTATGACACAGTGGAGTATAGAAAAGCCATTAAACACCTTCGTTACAGAGACAAAATATCAGAGATCCGTGATAGAATGTTCAGTGAAAACAACGGAATATAAAATACTAGTACACTAACCTCAATTATGTAAAGCTTTGTAAACAAGTGGCACCTGATTCATAAAAATGTGAGAATACCTGGCTTTGGGTTGCTTTTAAAATATTTTTAAATCATTAAGTCTCATCTTTACAATGAAAAAACTAAAAGTCATAGTATAAACAAATGCTGTCAACCCGGTGAACTGTATTTGTGTACGTCTGCTGGATAAGGCATAATAACTATGATTCATACACACACGACCCTCTTCCCTTGACGTCCACGGGGGAATGATATAGCTTACCTTAGTTCATCTTGTATTTCTGCTACCTGATCCAGCAGAATACTTAGTCGGTCCCATCTCATATTTTTACATTCTTTATGGAAGTCAAAGGCAATATATCTACCAAAAGAAAAGATACGCAGAAACTGACCAAAGATTAGTCATTTTCCTTCTACCGCTATGTTCATAAGCAGATTTTCCTATTTGAGCGTACAGATTTCTTCTTCACTGCGGGTTTACACACACACACACACACACACACACAGTCTCTCTCTCTCTCTTCTATCTTCACATGTTCTTCTAGAGGCCCTGAGATAGGAGTAGAGAAGAAGCCCAGCAGAAAGTAGAAGTGAGCTCAGGTACAGCAATCGGGTCTATCATATAAAGTAGCCTTATCCAAATGAATAGCCAGGGTGTATTCTTTGCCCCCATATACAAAGAATAAGGTCCCTTTGTATTATTTTTTCAACTGAATAAAATGTTTAAAATGGTCGAACTCAAATCAGTGCAAGGAGGATTCGACGAGTGTCAGATCTGTACTGGGGTTTGTCAGAAGCACAGAGGCCACATGGCCCCCACTCTGGTCACTTACTGTCCATCACCTTCCTTAACAAATCAAAACACCCACTGTCCTTATCACTATCTGTACATCTCACATAGATGTGGCAGAGGGACCTTCCCTGCCGGTCTGCAATGGGTTGTTTTTAGTTATCTGGTATTTAATAGGCCACTTCTGAAGGTTAGAACACATCTGACAGTGAAGGTGTCCTACCAGGAGCTGGACAATGTTGCCAACTGAGAGGGGGAAAAGAAAATCATGAACCAGGTCCTGAAAGTCAAGGGAATCAGGAACCAGGTCAAGTCATAAGTAGGAGGACTGGAAGGACATCAAGCTCTGGTCGACTACACAGTGAAATTCAGATGAGGCGTCTGCCCACGCGTCACTCCCTTGGCTCCAACAGACCGAAGGAGCATCAGTAGAGTGCGGGCTTCTGAGCAGGTCCAGAGGGGCTCCTGCCACCTTAATGGTTATCTCACTGATGAGGTGAGAATGGTCTCCTTAGAAATCAGTACAAAAACAGAGGTTAGCTAACCATGAGGCTAGACTTGGTGAAGACTGGGAGTGGGGGAAGCACTTCCAGAGGCCGCTCCCACAAGACTGACAGAGTGACAGTCACTTCGGGGTACTCCCACAGAAGCAACAGCCCTAGACTGGCTTGAAGACCGTAAGCAGCTGGCCAGCACCTAAATGCATTTGGATTCTTAGCACGCATCCTTCTAAAATCACATTGGTATCTTCTAAGAATGAACTGCATTGTTATATTTTGACAATGCGTGACTGTAAATATACTATTTTGCTTCTGACCCCAATAGTCAAGCAGTTCTGCTTCTTTCCAAGTTCTAGGAAGAAACCCTCAGAGACACATCACCTTGCATGGCTCATTTTCTCATCCAGTTCCCAAAAGAAAAACTTCCCATTGCTAACGAGTCCCACCATTCCTCAGAAGCACAACCACACGACCTCTCTCCTTCAGGTCATTCACCAATCCATCAACTTCATTCATTTAATGTACTCAAAGCAATAATCACTGAACAACTAAAAAGCGAATCAGTCCAGTAAACCGGTATCTGAAACATGACATTAAGTCTACCATTTAATTTCACTTTTAACTAACAGACTGATTTTTCCCCCTGCCAGAATATGGATTTACTCAATTAAAAAATATTCAAATATACTTTTTAATATGCTCCTCTGTCTGGTGGTCTTTGGAGCTCATGGAAGGAAAATGACAACAGCTCTGGGTGTTCGCTCTTTAGGTGAGGGCCATGGGTGCCCTCCACGCTCCTGGAGCACCAAGGGCGTAACTCTAGACTCTGACGCTGCAAGTTCTCGAAGTGAGCTGCGGCTACAAACTCAAGACAACTCTCAAGCCACGTGTATCTGTGGAAACCCCCTGGGGCAGACAGAAGGCCTTAACAAGGGGTGGACACAGCAGACAAACTTCTCTCAGAGTACGCATGCTAGACTCCAAACCCAGAGGTTCTAATTTTTCAGGTCTAAGGTATATTCTAAGTTCCTCTGAGTCCTCCAAAGAATGTTTAAGAAAGTTCCACTGGGAGAAGGCAGAAGTATGCATGGAGTGGGGGGGGTCTGATGAACTTGCTAGAGCTTTTGAGTTGGAGGAAAGACACTTGAATTCTTCCCCAAATGCTCATTGTATCATTCTCTTTTTGTGGATGTTTAAAATCTCTCATTAGGTTAAAAAAATTTCTCCCCAAATAACCCCATACCATTTCTTTGGAAAGTTCCCCCCCGCCTCACCCCAGTGCCTGTGACCACTTCCTACCACAGTACACCCTCACCTCCTGCCCAGTTTCTTGCTGCAGAAAGCTCCAAAAGGGCTGACTCATCACCTTGCACCTTTCCACAGGGCAACTGTTGGATGTTTTAGGATCCCTCTCTTTTGACAAAGCTGCACAGTTTGGTAGGTAAGGCTGCAGCTCCAGACAAGGCCACCATGCAAGTGTAAATTTCTCCAACTCATGTGGTGGTCAGGACCACAGAGATCACACCAAATGATCACAAGGAACTGAAATTCATGACCCAGTGGCCACGTGACACAAAGCCTCAGGAGGGGATTTTGATCAGGGACCAAACTTTCACAAAATTCAAACTAAAATCTGACTGTTAAGAAGTTATTCTGCAGTATAATTATGCCAGAGAAAAATTTCAAGCTAACAGAATCATGCTTTGATCTAGTACTGGGGGGAAAAAAAGCTGAGCTGTAATTCAGGTTTCCCCTACTATCCAGAAGTGGAGTGTTCCTATGACCTGAAGTAGCCTAAAGCGAAGCGTGCCCCCTGCTTTCCAAGTCTGCCTCATGCCATAGGCCACTATACTCTTACGAAAGACCTCCGTCTGTGTGGTAATGACCTTCTCATAAAGGTGAAAAATCGTCTTTGGCTTTCTTTCGGTTAGTGACAACAGGTACCAACATGGTCTCTTATAATACAAAGTGGTGTGACACAGACTTTTTGAAAAGTGGGGATCACCGTATGTCTAGTGATATCTACGTACTGGTGTGTCCAGTAGTCCCCTTATCCACAGTTTCACCTCCCACAGCTTTGGTTCCCTGGGGTCAACTACGGTCTGAAAGCAGATGGTCCTCCTCCTGACATGGGGTCAGGCTGCCAGTGGCCTGATGCTCTGTCACAGTGCCTTTGTCACTGGGCTGACTTCATCACGTGGGCATCTATCCCTCACATCATCATAAGACATACAACTACAGTACAGCAAGGTATTTTGAGAAAGACCACATTCACATAGCTCTTATTATAGCACATTGTTTTAATTATTCTATTATTGCTGTTATTATTCTATTATCAGTTTATCTGCTACTGTGCCTACATTATATATTAAACTTTATCATAGGTATGTGTATCTAAGGAAAATTACAGTATACCTAGGCTTCGGTACCATGTGTGGTTTCAGGCATCTACTGGGGCTCTGGGAACGGATGCCCGTGGGTGAGAGGGGATGGCTGGATATGTAAGTGCACATCTCATCTGAAAAGACCTGCGCAGATTTCTAGGGAGGTACCTGATCATTCCACTGCCCAAGGAAGACACCATTGTTGCAAATGCCTGTTCGAGTGGTTTCTCTGAGCCCTTCTGATTCACCTGTAAAAAAGTAAAAACACCACAGCTTTCTTTTAAGTTCCTTTAAAAGGAAAGAGCGACATCAGCAAAATGGTGGGCCAGGAAGCTCCAAGCTCTTGTTCTCGCACAGAAACACTGAAAACAACGGAAGCTGTCTGAGCCAACTTTGTAGGAGCTCTGGAAAACAATCAAAGGTTTAAAGCAATGAAGCAAATCCCCAAACAAAAAAAAAAAGGTATCTTCAAAACTGTAGGACAGTTTTGTGACATTTTTACTTGCCCTTACATTTTTACTTGCCAACTCCATCCCTGGGGCAGTGACGGTCTCAGTCTTAAGCAGCAACCAGGTTCTCAGTTCACCTCTTCAAAACGGAGAGAGAACCCCAGACCTTATCTGCAAGTTACCGCGTACGTTTGGTCTGACCTGAAGGATGGGTCTGTCTGTCTCTGTCTCACATAACTCTGAACACAAGCAGGGGAAGAGGAGGACACAGCTCATACAAGCTACAAAGGGCTACAAACCAACAGCCGCGTAGAGCAAAGGATTTCGGAAAACATAAAATAGACCATCTACAGGCTGCAGAAGAAGCTGGGGTGATACTCTGGGAAATTAGGACATTCAGAAGCAGCCATGTATAGGGAGGATTTTAGAAAGCCACATGCACACCCAGGCAAGAGGCATGTCTGAAAGTTCCTGAGAAGACCTAGAGCCCTCACCTCAGGCTGACCCCTACGCTCGAGCAAGCCTGGCTAACCAGAGAAAAACTGCTCCAGCACAGAACCAGTCTGCAGAGAATGACAGATGGGGCTGTTCTCTCTTTTTCGGTTTTTGCCTTTGTCTGTTTCAGTTCCTGGCATTCAAAGAAATCTCTGTCAAAACATTAGCTGAACATGAGCCCAAAGAATAGAGGCTTCAGTAAGTATAAACAAGGGAGTCTTTTCAAAAATGGTTGGGAAACATCTGAAAACAAATGGGATTACCACAGCCATCAACAATCGAAACAAAAACACAAATAAAAACGCTGCAAAATCCCGGGAAAGGAGAATCTGACTTCCAGAGTTACCATATTATAACCACCCAGCACCTGATTTTCAACAACAAAAATACCAAGGCATACCAAAAAATAGGAAAACAAGGCTTATTCAGTGGAAAAGGATAAACAGACAGAAACCATCCCTGCAGAAGACTTAATCAGAAAAAGGGTTTTAAACAAGTGTCTTAAATATGCTCAGAGCTAAAGGAAAACAGGGTATGAAAGGAAACCAGGAAAACGGTACATGAACAAAATAAGATTACCAGCAAACAAACAAAAATCATTCAAAGGAACTAAACAGTAGGTGTGGAGTTGAAAAGTACAAAACAGAAATTAAACATTCACTAGAGTTCAAGAGCACATTTGCGCAGGAAGAAAATCGAATCGGCACACTTGAAAATGAGACAAATGAACTAACCAAGTCTGAAGAGCGGAAAGAAAAATGAATAAGGAAAAGTGAGCAGAGCCCTGGAGCCGTCTGGGACATCACCAGGGGACAACACACCCATTCTGGGAGTCCCAGAAGGAAAAGAGAGAAAGGACTAGAGATCTTTACTGAAGAAAAAGAAAATGGCCCTAAACTTTCCAAATTTGATGAAAGACATAAATCTTCAAATCCAAGAAGATCACCCAATTCCAAGGATGATAAGAGAAACCCACACCAAGCACATTCTAATCAAACTACTGAAAGACAAAGAAAGGATCTTGAAAGCAACAAGAGGGAAGAGACACATCACATACAAAGTATTCTCAATAGGATTACAGGCCAGTTTCACTTCAGAAAACTTGGGAGGCTAGAAGGCAGTGGACGGATATATTTAAAGTATTGAAAGAAAAGAACTCTAAACCAAAAATTCTGTATCTGGTGAACTGTCCTTCAAAAACAAGCGAAATTAAGACTCTCTTAGATAAATGAAAGCTGAGAGAGCTCATTATCACTGGGCCTGCCCTACAAGAAAAGCTAACAGGGATCCTTCAGGTTGAAATGAAAGAACGCTATAAAGCAGCCTGAAGCCACATAAAGGTATTTAGATTTCCTCTAAAGGTAACATAAAAGGCAGCATTAGTGTAATCTTGATCTATACCTCCATTTTTTTTTTTTAATATTCTACAGGACTCAGAAGTCAAATGCATTTAAGAAATTATAAATCTATGTTACTGGGAACAAAATGTATAAAGATGTAATTTGTGACATTAATAACATAAAGAGGAGGGACAAAGCTTTATAGGAGTCAAGTTTTTATATGCAAACTGAAGTTAGGTTGGTATCAATTCAAATTAAATATTACAACTTTAAAACATTGTATGTAATCCTCATGGTAACCAAAAAGAAAATATCTATAGAATATAAACAAAAGAAAATGAGAAGGTAATCAAAATATATAACTACAAAAAAATTCAACACAAAAGAAGACAGTGATAGAGGAAGACAAAGGATAAAAAATTGTAAGATGTACAGAAAACAAATAGCAAAATGGCAGAAATAAGTCTCTACAGGTAAGTAATTACTTTAAATATAAATGAATTAACTCTCCAATTAAAAGGCATAGATTGGCAGAATGAATTTTAAAAATGATCCAACCACATGCTACAGAAAACATTCACTTTAGATCTAAAGACACAAGTAAGCTAGAAGTGAAAGGATGGAAAGATACTCCATGCAAATAGTTAGTAATCAAAAAAAGGCAGGGGTAGCTCTATCAACACCAGACAAAATAGACTTTAAGTCAAAAACTGTTGTTAAGGACAAAGAAGAACATTATATAGTGATAAAAGAGTCAATTCACCAAGAAGGTAAAACAATTAAGATATATATGCACCAAACATCAGAGCCCAAAAATGTATGAAGCAACACTGAACGAACTGAAGGGAGAAATAAACATTTCTATAATAGTTGGAGATGTCAACAGCTCCCTTTCAGTAATGGAGAGAACAAATAGGTAGATCAGTAAGAAAACAGAGAATCTAAACACCACAAACAAATCAGACTCAACAGACATAAACAAAACACTCCACCCAACAGCAGCAGAATATACATTTTTCTCAAGTGTGCATGCAACAGTCTCCAAGACAGAGTAATTGTTAGGCCACAATACAAGTCTTAATAATTTTTAAAATAACTGCCATACAAAGTATCTTTTCTAATCACAGTGGAATGAAGTTAACCCTCAATAATAAGGAAAAACTAGAGATTTCATAAATATGAGGAAATTAAACAGCACACTCTTTTTCTTCTGAAGATTTTATTATTTGAGAGAGAGAGAAAGCACAAGCAGGGTGAGGGGATGAGGGAGAGAGAGAAGCAGGCTCCCTGTTGAGCAAGGAGGTCAATGCGGGGCTCCATCCCAGGACCCCGGGATCATGACCTAAGCTGAAGGCAGACACTTAACTGACTGAGCCACCCAGGCAGCCCTAAACAGCACACTCTTAAACAATCATTGTGTTAAGGAAGAAATCACAAGAGAAATTAGAAAACAGACAAATGAAAACAAAAATACAATATACCAAAACTTATAAAATAAAGCCAAAGCAGCACTAAGGGAAATTTACAGCTATAAACATATACACTGAAAAATAAGACCAGGGCACCTGGGTGCTCAGTCAGTTGAACAGCCAACTAGTGATTTCGGCTTAGATCATGATCTCATGGGGTTGTTAGACAGAGCCCCGCGTCGGGCTCTGTACGCAGAGCAGAGTCTGCTTGAGATTCTCTCTCTCCTCTCCCTCTGCCCCTTCCCCCACTTGTACATGGTCACATAATTGCGTGCGCACTCTCTCTCAAATAAATTAAAATATTTAAAAAAAAAAAGACCTTAAATCAAGGACCTCACTTTACACTTTAAACGAGAAAAAGAAAAGCAAACGAAACTCAAAGCTAGCAAAGGGAAGGAAATAAAGATCAGAGATAAAGAGAATGAAGTATAGAAAAATAGAGAAAAATTAATGAAACCAAAACTTGGTTCTTTGAAAGATTAACAAAATTGACAAACTTAGCTATAACGACCAAGAAAAAAAAAGAGAAGACTTGACTTAACTAAAATCAGGAATGACAGATGAGATATTACTACTGATTCTGAAGAAACAAAAAGGATTATAAGAGAATTCAATGAACATTTTGCAGTCAATCAACCAGACAAATGGACACATTTCTAGAAACAATCCACCCAAACATGAATCATGAAAAAACAGAAAATCTGAATAGACCTATAACTAGCAGTTATCAAAACAACACAAAGAATGGGAGAAAATATTTGCAAAGCACATCTAATAAGGAATTAGTTCCAGAATATAAAAAGAACTACTATAACTCAACAACAAAAACCACCACCACCTAATTTAAAATGAGCAAAATACTTGAGTAGACCTTTCTCTAAAGAAGATATACAGATGTCCAATAAGCACATGAAAAGATGTTCAACATTACTAGTCACTAGAAAAATGCAAATCAAAGCTACAATGACACACCACTCCACGCCCATAAAGATGGCTATAATCAAAAAACATAACAAAACGAATCCTGAAAATAACAAGTGCTGGCAAGGATGTGGAGAAAGCAGAACCCAGGTGCACCTCGGTGGGAATGTAAAAGGTAGCCACTGTGAACAGCAGCAGCGGTTCCTTAAAAAGTTAAACCTAGAATCACCCTATGATCCAGCAATTCCACTTCTAGGTATGACCCGAAAAGAACTGAAAGCAGGGACTCAAATGGATACCTGCACATCAATGTTCAGAGCGGCATTTTTCACAACTGAAATGTAGAAACAACCCACGTCCATCGACAGATAAATGGATAAACAAAATATGGAACATACAAAGGAATGTTATCCAGTCTTCAAAATGAATGAAATTTTGATACATGCTGTAACGTGGACAGTCCTTAGAAACATTAAGCTCGGTGAAATAAGCAAGACCCAAAGGAATCAGTATTATATGATCCCCTTATGTGGTAAATCTAGAATAGGAAAATTTATACAGATAGAAAGTAGAATGGTTACCAGGGATTGAGGGAAGGATAATAGGAAGTTAAATGGACACTGAGTTTCTGTTTGGCATGATGAAAAGTTCTGGAAATGGTCTAATGGTAACACTTGCACAACACTGTAAAATACTTTAATGCCACTGAACCGCACACTTCAAAACAGTTAAAATGGTAAATGTTATATTTTTTTTTACATGTTTTTTGTTTTGTTCCCCCCAAGAAACATGTAAGAAACATACCAGATTGATTATTACTTGTTTTCCATAAATAATTACTTGTGAATCAAAATGCCTTTGGAAACCATCCATCTAGAAAGAGAAAATAATTACACACTTTACCAAATTACACTATATTTATAAAACTCTTTAAAGTATCTCCTGGGGCGCCTGGGTGGCTCAGTCGTTGGGCGTCTGCCTTCGGCTCAGTTCATTATCCCAGGGTCCTGGGATCGAGCCCGCATCGGGCTCCCTGCTCCGCGGGAAGCCTGCTTCTCCCCTCCCACTCCCCCTGCTTGTGTTCCCTCTCTTGCTGTATCTCTCTCTCTATTAAAATAAAAAAAATAAAGTATCTCCTTAAATGTCCTGTTTGTATATTCAAGAGAATGACACTAGGATTGGGACCAGGTCTTCAAGATATTCTAAATACCATGTAGTAAGCAGCAATTATAAGCCATTCTGTTCTGAGCTACAATACCATACTTTAAATCTGAGCACGACCTCAAACAGAATACACTAAAGACTCTAAAACAGCATGAAGCTGCAAATCTTACAAGATCTCTAAAATCTGAATTTGCCATGCTGTCCAATCATCTGCTAGTTTTCCGCATTTCCAATGTGCCATCTCTACAGCCTTTGGGTCAGAGGTTCACTAGGTGCCAGATCCAAGGAGAATGGCTGCAGAGATGCTGGATTCTAACTCGTGAGGAATAACTACATGTTCCACATGCAAACTATAATGCTATGAAGCTCCTATTTTTAGCCAACGGAAAAAACACAGAAGATACTCACATGATTGGCTACTTTGTTGATTAGTGGCTGTGGTTTGTACTTGAGGTTTGGTCTTTGAGACCAGAAAACTGGTATTGATCCTCGAGTCTAAAAGAAAAGAGAGAAATATGAAAAGAAACATACACATTAACTTGTTTCTCTCATCAAAGGAAAAAACATAAATATAACCTACCAACTACGAAAGGAGTCTGTGTATGCCTACTCCTAAAGTTCCGATTCTGTGGGAATACATTTGGAAAGGACTTTTCCTCCTGATTTTATATACATGTATACTACTTGGGTAGTAAACAGTCCTGTTTCCCCTAAATTTCTAAAATAAACCAATTTATTTATAAGCAATTAATAAGTTATGTCTGTTATATAATCCGCTATGATGATGAAATTAGAAAACTGCTTTATTCATTCTCCAACGAGTATATTTCTGAACTTACAAATATGTGGAGCCACCACTGCTCTGGGGCAGCAAGTGACCCAGAACTCCATAAGGAGGCAACAAGAGCCAGACTGCTCCCCAAAGAAGTGCAAGGCGGGTAAAGCCTTCACAAGCTGACTTCTGTCCCATCATCACTGCCTTGAAGAAGTCAAGGGGGTGAAGCGGAGAGGTGGCTCCACGTCCCTAACCCTTGGACCTCCTCCCCTCCTCTCTCCGTAGGGATTTAATTAATTCAAGGGCAGGAAATGTGGGGAGGTGAGTGCCAAGTTAATCGAGTAGCTTTGTTCTGGGGGAACTTTACCCACATTGTAGACAACGAATGGTATTACTTTAAAAAGCAGGGGAGCGGAGGGAAATTTCAACACCAGGGCAGAAAAGTATGGTGGAAGCAGAGGAGGCGAGCTGGTTGGCCACCTCAGAGACACATCCACTTGCCTGTACGAATGAGGCCCTGCTCCCGTTATAGTGCACAATTTGTTCTGTTTCTACAAAGTTGGCGGCATGGCCTTCAGAATCAATTCCTAAATCGAAAAAAAAGCCAAAGTTAACCAGATTTGTTACATGAGAAACACATCAGAGACTCACCAATTCGGTTTAACTTGGAAAGAATTAACTCAGTTCAAATTAGTGGAAAAGTCCTTGTAAAAATAAATTTCAAACGCATGGTACACCATCCGAAAGCTAAGAGAAGCTCCCTCATTACAACAGGCTTAAGGCGGAGTATTAAGGACCTATTAATAAACAGATGAAGTTGGTTGCTGTTTAATATATCAATTGTTTATACATACACAATTCCTCTAAAACAGTGTTTCTCAAACTTGAAAAATATTTTCAAGAAAAAGTCATTCTCAAGGACCCCTGAGAGTATGCCCATAGATCCCAGTTTGAAAAATACTATTTTGAAAGTTAAAACTATTAAACACAATATTAAATGGAATGTGGGTCATTATGTTAACAATATTTTGTTGTAACAGGGCAAATGGTCTGCCAGATGCTTATAATGATTTCAATTATCAAAACAAAAGCACAAAAATTGTATGATCCTAGAATTCTTGTAACTCCATGAACATACCCACAAAGCCTAGTTTGAAAAGCACTGCTCTAAAGTGTTTAGTCTTAATATTGGTTAGTCCTTTCGATTATTTGAAGCAATCCTCTACAATCCTATTCACATAATCTACTTTTATACGAAAAACTTGCAGAGGCAACTTTCAAGCTAGTCCCTGACTCAAATTACTAAATTATTATAAAGAAATCAACAGATTTTTTTAACCACCTCAAATATTTCTTAACATCCTTTCTATCTTATCTATTTCTCAAATATAACATTTTGAGGTGAGGTAGGTGGTTTTGTTAACAGTGACGGGGACAAAATTACTGAGTCAAATCGGCAACGAAATGCTTTCTCAAAACCTTCTAAAATTACTTGTCAGAAGCATCTTATACTTGGGTTCTTTCCATTAATTCTCATTAAGGAATATTTTTAGAAGTTAGAGTGAGATTGGTGTGCATGGGGGTGGGGATGCAGGGAGGGAGGGAAGGAGAGAAGGGGTGCGGGGGCTAGGTGGGGAGGCAGACCTTTATGAAATGATTTCCAAGATATATGAAATTTAAAAAACAGAAAAAAACCAAGGTACAAGAAAATGTGCTCAGTATACAACCAATGTCCACAAAAGGGGGAGGAGAACACACAACTGTAAAAGCATTAAAAAATGATCTGGAAGGATAAATAAGAAGCTAACAACTGAGTAAGATGCAGCAGATGGGCCCAAAGCCCAGAAATATATTTTATTGCACATCTCTTTATATTTCTTGATACCTGAACTATGTGAATGCATTACCTATTCAAAAATTTAACTAAAAATATGTCTCCATCCAAGAAAATCTAGTTATGAAGGAGTCGTGAATTCCAATTCTGATTCTGTGATCTTGGCCAGGTCACTTACTAAAATGTCCTTCTGCTGTATCACCTGTAATAAGGGAATAACCTTTACAACTTTGTGGTCCAAAACTTCTACAATTTATCTAATGGCCCAGAGAATTTTATTCTTACAAAAAAAGAAAGAGGGGCGCCTGGGTGGCTCAGTCGGTTAAGTGACTGCCTTCGGCTCAGGTCATGATCCTGGAGTCCCGGGATCAAGTCCCGCATCGGGCTCCCTGCTCAGCAGGGGGTCTGCTTCTCCCTCTGCCCTCTTCCCTCTCATGCTCTCTGTCTCTCATTCTCTCTCTCTCAAATAAATAAATAAAATCTTTAAAAAAAAAAGAAAACAGGAAGAGTTAGAAAAACTCCTTTTCATAATGCCAGTAATTTTTAATGCAGATTTTAAAAAGCTTGGTTTAAGTAAATTAACATGTTGCTAGTACAAATCCTAGGGAATAAATACTCAAAATGTAAATCTTTAAAGTTGAAGGCATAAAGTCAAATGTCTAGCTTTATGCATGCAAAGAAACCGAGAGCAGTGAAAGAAAATACTTTCTGATACAAGTTTCTGATATGAAACTACACTGAGTTCAACTGGCTTTCAGACATCCCGCAAACAACATGAATAATTCCTCTTAAAGCAGTAAGAAGCAACCTATAGGGTCTCATTAATATCTGCCATGTAACTACAGTAACTGGAGTAAAGCACAGAAAACCTACCGAATTATTATAATGAAGCAGGAGATAAATATTTAGTGAGGCTATCAAATGATGAGAATAAAATACAAAAGGTTACATTCGTCACCGTATGACAAGACATTAATTAGTGATAAAACCCAGTATTGAATCACGCTGACAAAATTAATCTCACCTCTTACATAATAACGCACACCGGCTCTGAAACAACTCCTCCTCGAGATGAGAATCCAGTCAAAGTATTTTCCATTAATAGAACACGAGTGCATAGTAATAACTTAGCTATGTTAAGAAAAATATAACATTTATAGAAATCATAGGTATTATTTCCAGATTACATCTGAACCCATTTACCCTAGCAAGCAAGAATGACTCCGTCTTTAAGAGAAAAATGAACCAGGGCGCCTGGGTGGCTCAGTCGTTAAGCATCTGCCTTCAGCTCAGGTCATGATCCCAGGGTCCTGGGATCGAGCCCCGCATGGGGCTCCCTGCTCAGCGGGAAGCCTGCTTCTCCCTCTCCCACTCTCTCTGCTTGTGTTCCTGCTCTCGCTGCGTCTCTCTCTGTCAAATAAATAAATAAATAAAATCTTTAAAAAAAAAGAGAAAAATGAACCAAGAATGTACAATCTTTTTGGGTTCTTCATGAATGTTCACAAGCCTTTAATATTGTAATATTCGACTGTGAAGTTTGGTCAAGTCAGTAATCCTATAATGACATACAGACAGTATGTTTGAGTGGTTCATTATATTGTTTCTATTTGAAAAATATGATTTCCTTTCCCTGCTATCCTCAACCACTTTCTAAAAGTAAAACATTACCTGCATCACCAAAAAACTGTGCTTAGAATGAAAAACATAAATGTAAAGTAGTTTTGCCTTCAAATAAGAAATGGAAAAGGGGGGGGGTGCTAGACTACTGCAATTAAAAAAAACACAAAAATATATGTATAATTACAAATATAAATCAGCAATAACAGTTCGTATGCATATGAAGATTACAGATCAAACTGTGATTTAAGGATTATCCAGAAACAAATTCTGACTCTACTTTGTCCTTGAAACAGGAAAAGTAAAACTGAATATGAAAAAAAAAAAGTATCTCCCCCAAAAGCTTTTCTTAATCTAAACCTATCTCCCTAACAACTAGTAAAGGTATGTGCTATCCACCTGCTCACTCCCGCTCAGCAATGCAGAGGGCTCGATCCCTGCGAACCCTCAGGGCTCGGGTCTCTCCACCTCATGGCCAGAATGAAGGGCTTGCGGAAGCCTCTGGAGATGGCAAATCTCTTACATTAAAACAATGTTATTAGGAACTATAACAAACAGAAAAGAATACACAATGTATCTAAATATTTACAAAAAGAGCCATGTCTGGGGAGCTATTGCTTAATGGATTGAGAATTTCCAATAGAGGAGAAAGAAATGGCTTGGTGCTCTTCATACGACATTAGCAAGGTAATGCCACTTTCTAAACTGTACACTCAGAATTGGTTAAAATGGCCAATTTTGGTTAAATATTGTCTGATCATAACAAAAATCACTGAACCCACTCACACATCCACCCCCACGCGCACCCCCGGCACCTCTGGAGCACCGAGAGCGGGCGCCCCTCCCCATCTTGCTCCCCTGCTGCCCTCCACACACAGACCGCTATCCACTCAGTTTACCACTATCCACTCAGTTCACCACTCCCTTGCTGGTCTTTCTAGTTTTGCCACTGAGCAAATTCCTAAAAGGAGTTACACTGTATATGTCTTTTGGCTTGCCCTCTTTGTTCTGCAGTACGTGCCTGGGGCTCCCTTGTTGCTGGGGCTGGATTCTATCCCACCGTGCGGATTCACGGGCTACACCAGTCTATCCAGCCGACTGTCCAGGTTGTTTCCAGTTTTTGCTAGCAGAAAAGTGCCGCAAACAAACATTTTGGGGAGGTGGCTCTAAGGAGCTAGGACTGCTAGGTCACGGAGTATACTCATCATCTGATTTTATTAGGAAATGCCAAATTCTCCTAAGAATTACTTTGACTTTTCATCTTTACCGCTTGATATTGTAACAGAAAGGTTTCTTTCACTGTCTCGATGGCCTTATCTTTCTTCCTTCCTCAATTTGTTTGGGTTTGCCCTATGCTTATCTTTTATATGTAACATTTTTTTCTTAACACAACCTGAATCACCCATTATAGAGCATTAACAGCACGATAAATTAAGTATCTATGAACCTCCCATTCAACTTCAGAATAGTACCAAAACCCTGACTCTAATTACTGTTACTTCTCCATCCTGTCTTCTTGCCCAGAAGCAGCAACTATTTTCAGGAGACCATACTCCTGCCTTTTTAATTTCACCACAGGCAACCACGACTTAAAAACACGTGGCTTGGGCGCCTGGGTGGCTCAGATGGTTAAGCGTCTGCCTTCGGCTCGGGTCATGATCCCAGGGTCCTGGGATCGAGTCCCGCATCGGGCTCCCTGCTGGGCGGGGAGCCTGCTTCTCCCTCTGCCTCTCTCTCTCTGACTCTCATGAATAAAAACAAAAACAAAACAAAACACATGGCTTGCTTATGTTTGAGTTTTTTATAAAAACAGCACCACATTCTTGACAAGCTTCAGCCCTTGTTTATTTCCACCAGTACGTTCCACGCTTGGATGGCACAAACCAGTAAACCACTCCTCCTCGGTGCTGTGAGAGCCCCGACTCTTCTCTGATGGAACTGATGGCGTTGGTTCCATCCAACTGTGGTGCTGTGAACACTCTTGCAAACACCCCCTGGTATAAACATATTGGGTATGCACAGGGGAAGTTCTGGTAAATTCAAAAGAGAATGCCAAATCACTTTCAAAATGATGGTACTGAGGGACACTAGCAATATGAATTTCTAATGATTCATCCTTCTCTTTGACCTGGGATCATGAGACTTAACGATGACTCATCCTGAACTCCCAATTCACTTTTCTTTAAAACCCACAGCACTAGAGAAGAATCCAAGGCCGTATCTGTTCATTCATTCACCCATTACCTATTTTGGGCGAGGGCACAAAGATGACTAAGATATGAGCCTGCCCTTAGAGAACTAAGTGGAGCACAGAATATGAGTGACTGCTTTATGAATCATTTCCTCGGATTACAAGAGAAATACATACACACTTTAAAGAATCCAGAAAGCATGGAAGGAACAAGAAAATAACAATCATACAGCAGCCCATCACCATGATATCACTTTTACCATGTGAACAGATGTACTTCCGGTCTTTATCAGTGAGTTACGCCCAGGGCCACGCGCTCGCACTTGGATGCCCATACCACACCTTCTCAGCCTCCAACACTCCTCCCGCATCCCACTCACCCAACTGACATAGTTTCCTGGTCCTCTGTGGAAATAAAAGCCATCCCCTTGATAGAGAGCTCCTGCCACAGCTCTCTATCAACTGGCATCCACATCCACGTGTCTGCTTCCCTTCCTGGCAGAGGAGGACCTGGGCACTAGACTCCACCTGTCGCACACTCGAGGACATCACTCCAGCACTTGACTGTGCTCTCCCCTTCTGCAAACTCTTCTCATCAGTTCCCCCATCTGGGGAGGAGAGTCGGGGGAGCAGGTACATAACTTCCCTGCCGAATGTTCACATTTAACCACCCAGCACCTTATCAGCTGATTACCCCCTGTGCTTGCAGACAGTCTCTTCATTTGTTTGTGGGACACCACCCTCCCTTGGGTGGCTCCCCTCTTCCTCACTGCCCTTTGCTGGGTCACCATTTCTCCTGTCCTTGCGGTTCATTCACACTGGTTCCCCCACTCTGTCCTCAATGAGGCCTACAGTCTGTGGCTTCACCTTCTAGAACTCCCTTCAGGCGATCTTCTTTCTCCAGGCCTTTTCTTTTCCCTAGATGCATTCCTTCCTTTGATGAGCTCATCAGCTTCGTGGCTTTAAATGCCATCTGTGCTCATCAGACAACTCTCAACTTTATGTCTGCAACATGACCTTCCCTCGTAAACTCCAACGCCATTACTCCATCTGCTTCTGTGACATCTCGTCTTGGAAGCTAGAGCAATCTCAAGCTTAACTGTCCCAGTGGAACTCCGGATACTCTGGCCTCACCCCCACCTCCAGACTCTTCCACGCATCGATGGATGGCTTCCTTCCACTTACTCTGGCCAGAAACCTTAGATTCGTACTAAGCCCCCTTCTTCCATACCCCATGTACAATCTGTCAGAAAATTCTGTAAGCTCTACCTTCACGACAGGTCTGGAACCTGACCATTTCCACCACCATCACTGCTACCATCCTGGCCCCAGGCATCACCGCCTCTCACACCTAACTACAACAACTGCCTCTATCGTGAGTCCTTGTATCCTCCCATGCTCGCCTTTGGCATGTTCTCCACACCGCTGTCAGTGAGCCTGTCTTACCATGCCAAGCCTCTATTCGAATCCCAAGTTTCTCATCACAGTTACAGTACACACAGAGCCTACAAGGCCCTGCAAAACCCAGACCCGGCTCCTTCCTTCAGGTGACTCCCACCTCTCCCTGTCCACATTCGCTGCTTGAGCATGCTCCTGACTCGAGGCCTCTGTTCCTGCTCATCTCCCTGTGTATACATCAAACACTGAAACTATGTTAGCCAGAGGCTTATTTAAAGCTTTAGATGGAAAGCTAAATGAATGGATAGCCTGTTTCTAAAATCGCCTAGAAAAGGTGTCCCAAAACTCATTTAATATTACTGTCCATTCACAAGCTCATTTTGGAAACATACACACACACACACACACACACACACACAATTGGCCCAAACACCTTAAAGCACTACCTAAATTCATTGCTTATTTTAGTCTTAGGAGAACTTGGAAATATTCCAGGGAGGGGAGGGAGACACAGAATAAACAAGAGCTTTTATTCCCAGCGTTTCTGGTTTTTATTCTCCCACAACTGTGAAAAATGTTTCCTCCGTACTTTTTTGCTTTTAAGTATAACAAGAATAATTTAAAGAAATCCTATCAACATAATGAACAAACAGATCACAGACTGTTTCTGTAATAAGCTTCTCGGGGGTTCTTAATACAAAGATCACCTCGGTTTCTGCAGGGAGAGAACAGTGCTGATTACAGGCGCTCGTCAGCTACCTGTCCTTTATCCGCCAGCTCCCTCGGCTTCCCTGTTGTGGTAAGTTCTTAAAATGAACTTACAATTAGATGATGACTATTTGTTTTGCATCTGTACGGACTTTCCCCCTGCCCTAAGCATTATCCTTTGTGTACCATCTATTCCCATTTTTTTTGTGGCTATTTCAAATGACAAGGACGATTTTTAATTATAACTCTCCTCTCCACATTGCTGGTCGCCCTAGTTCCTGAATCTAACTATTTTAAGGGAAAGGGGAAGTTTTCAATAGTCAGGTTCAAACTACTCTTGTTTATTGGTACAAAGTCTAATAAATACAAAACACAGTCTGCATGCTCCTTCTTTAAACCACCAGCCCCAGAACTCTTGAACAGAGAGAATAATTCAGTCTCAAGAGTTCATTTAAAAAAGGGGGGGGGGTATTTATAACCAGTATTCTAAGATTTTACGTTAATGGGTTTGATTTTGTTATCAAGAGCAATTTCTACTAATTCTAAAACACTCTCTTCATATGACTGAGATTGTTCCTAAGTCTGCCTTGTACTAACACCGGACTAAGGACTGCCAGGCAACTGAAGAGTGACACCATGAAAGGATACAGCCGTGTAATACTGGGAGCGCAAACCGATGGACCTGAAATGGAGAGAGACAGGACACTGAGGAATACACATGCTCTTCAAATAAAAAGAAGCACTGCATAAAACATACTTCTACTATATAAAAATATTTGTGTTATGGAGGTAACATGCAAATACAACAAGGTATCAAGCTTATGGGTTATTTTTTTTAAATGTCTCTCACGTACCCTGGTCTTTCCAATTAAAACACAATTTAAGCATGTGATGCAATCATTTGGGCTTAAGTGTTCAGGTTTTGGAACACTAATAAAACTGCATGAAGCTGCCAAACGTCTACCTCCCTCCCTGTCACTCTTTGCCTACAGCAACTTCACTGCTCCAGAAAGAGACTCCCATGCGAGCTGTTTGCAGCTCAAACTACTTTTCCGAAAGAAGCAAAGCAAATGACAAGAAATAAAGACACCAAGCAAATCCATGTACCTAGATTTGATATGCTATGCTTCTCGGCTGGGCCTCGCTGCTCCCCCCTCATTTGTACAAACTAAGGACAGAGGAAGATGATGACATCCATGCATGTAAGTTATAAACTGAGTTAAATGAGAAGTATTTACCAAAATCCCTGGTGATTAGGCAGCCATTTTACATATCTATTCAATTAGAACTTGGACTGTAACAAATAAGTAGGTTTTATTTAGTGTCCATTACCTCTGGCTGGGCAGAAAGTTCTCTTAGAAGATGACCATTCCATACAAACCGCTGATCTGCCTGAGGAAGAAGATTTAAAATTAATCAAGTATCACCTGCCAACCTGAGGTTCTACAGATGAAAACTCTCAACAATCAATGTCTCCACCTGGTGGCTACACACAGGTCTTCCCCTCAAATCCGCCCCTCCTCCGGGTGTCCTGTCCCACTGGCTCAGGCCAGTGCTGTGGGCCCAGGCAGAAACCTGGGAGTCCTCTGGGGTCTTTTTTTTTTTTAAAGATTTTAAAGACAGACACAGTGAGAGAGGGACACAAGCAGGGGGAATGGGAGAGGGAGAAGCAGGCCTCCCGCCAAGCAGGGAGCCCGATGTGGGGCTTGATCCCAGGACCCTGGGATCATGACCTGAACTGAAGGCAGATGCTTAACAACTGAGCCACCCAGGCGCCCTGGGGTCTTCCTCTTATCTGTAGTCAACTGCCAAGTCCTAAATCTCCTTCCAAATCTACCCCCCTCTCCTATGTCCCTGCTCCCGTGGCCCCAACTAGCACCTGACTCCAGCCTAACTACTATGGGCAACTTCCCCGGATAGTCTTGGCCTTGTCCCTGCCACCCACCCCTCCACATGCTGCCAGCAAGAGCTCTCCAACGTGACCTGTCTCCTGTCTGCTGGGAATTCTTCACTGGCTCGATGTCACCTAAAGAACACACCTCCGCATGGCCTAACCCGTGCTGGCATGTGGCAGCCCCTACGGTAACTGCCGAGGGCATCTCTGACTTTCAAACTATAAATACAGGAGACGTTCCCTCAACAACACAGGAGATTAACCGACCCTCTCCATTCTGTTTACAAAACACACAGACTGCCACTCCCCATGCTTGTCCCCAGCTGAGAGTCCCAGGAGCAGCCACAACCAGCCTCGGGACACACTTCCCAGTGCAGGTGTGTGCTCCCAATCGCCCGCACGTATTAGTCATCATTACATAATCAAACTCAATGCCTTACACATCAGTGAGACAGGAGACATTTGATAAACAAATGGCAGATACAGCAGAGCAACTGCTTTAAAAAAAAAAAAAAGCAACTGTTTCTGTAGTTAAAAGCCAAATTGCTTGATTGCTTAGCTTACATCTAAATTTGCATCCAAGTCTACATAAAATTTTACTAGATTAGAGTATAAAATCTTAAAAGAGCCAGTCAACTAAAATATTGATTTAGGATGAACCATATGAAATTATCGTTTTTACTAGTCAAAAATGGTCAATTACTAGCAATTTCATAGGGTCTAGCCTAACAGGTAACAGACAGCAACCTTTAAAATTCTGTCTGCCCCCTAAACACAGAATCTAAGGTTTGTTACTAAAATATCCAGGCGGCAATTATCCAGGTTCCTGAACAGCAGGAATTTTAGGATGATATCATTTGAGACCTAGTTTTAAAGACACACTCATATTTAAAAAGCGGGGGGGGGGGGGGGGGGGCAAAATAACAACAAAAAACCCCCACCTTAAATCAATATTTTTCAAGTTCTTACATCAGTAAGTTCTTACTTTTCTCGTTGTAAAAACTATAAATACCACCACTGCAGAAAGAATATTGCATGTTGGCATGTTAATTTTTTAAGGGTAATTATGTTGTTAACGTTAATAATTGTTATACTGCAGAGCACTGAAAGCCAGGAAACTACCAGCATGCCTTTTTTTTTATTTGACAGAGAGAGACACAGCGAGAGCGGGAACACAAGCAGGGGGAGTGGGAGAGGGAGAAGCGGGCTTCCCGTGGAGCACGGAGCCCGATGCGGGGCTCGATTCCAGGACCCTGGGATCATGACCTGAGCCGAAGGCAGACGCTTAACGACTGAGCCACCCAAGCGCCCCTCAGCATGTCTGTTTAGACAGACTTCTCAATTCTTATACCACTGGTTCTCAGTCCTGTCTGGGTCACACATACAGATTCTGGGATCCTGAATTTGCAATTGTGACGGACACTGAGAACACGGTGTGTTTTCAACCCCACATGTGAGTCTGACATAGCCAGGATTGCAAAAAATCAATAAATATTTTTATGGATGACATAGAGATATGTCCCTTTACAAAAAAAAAACAAACCAAAATAAGTAAAAATAGCTGAAGATGAAGCCTACCCTTTCCAAGAGACTCATTTCTTGGAATTCTGGACTGGTGTTCGACAGCCGCTGCAAAGTATGGGTCAAATCATATGTCGTTGAGAAGTAAAACCCATCCACATTCAGGACGTGGTTTATCATCGCTAGGAAAGTTTTATTATCTTGTAACTGTAAACAAAAGGGAGGAAAACATCAGTCTGTCTCATACTTGAAACCGAATCTGTCCAGATCTGTAAGCCAGCCAGCCCTGTTAAATGCCACTGGCATAGGACTGACAGAGAGGATGCTCACCATTCCCCTAGGACCTAGGCCAGCTCCTGACCCACGGAGGAGGTTCACTCAACAGCATGGGGTATTGTTACATTAACTGATGGGATAGAACTCCTGCCCTTTAGTAGCCTTCAGTTTTTCTCTAATGGGCAGAAATTTATTTTAACAAAACATCACCGCCTTAGGTGATGACCTCCCACGTGCCAGACCCTTTAGAGACTCTCTTTCATCCTCACAACAAACCTTGCAGTTTAGTGTTACTCACGCTCATTTGACAAGTTAAAAACATAAAGTCATGAGAGGCCCAATAACACAGCAAGGAACTAACAAGGGAATAATACCATCCTCATTCCTAAGAAACTTTACTGGGCTGGATGGGAATTAAATTCTTTTTTAAAATGCAAAGATTAAAAAGAAAAGTCCAGTAAAATAATACTTATCTTTATTTTCTGATAATCATTTTAGTTGGCCTTCCCAATGAATACTGGGACATTTACTTTTATCCTTGCTTTAAGAAACAATTGATAATGTTTGGTCATGCTTAATGATTATCAAATGATTAATATGTTAATCTACCTGTTACAAATCCACATACTACAAAATTTTTAATTTGGGCTCAGACATGTATTTATTTATTTTAGACCAAAAGGTACAAAGCATATGTAGTAGGCAATGTTAAAATTAGTTGCATGGCCTACCAACCAAGTATAGCAATCAAGAAAAAACTGTTCAAGTAAATAATACTGGGCTAGTAAATAAATACAACCATTTTTAATTGCCTTAAATACCATGTCTTATAGGGGTGAATATATTGCTATGGAGTATCTTTTCTATGCCCTGGCCAATTGCCATACACCTGTCTTTTCTTTTTAAAGATAGATTTATTTATTTATTTATTTAAGAGGGAAAGAAAGAGCAAGCACGAGCAAACTCCCTGCTGAGCGTGGAGCCCAATGCCAGGCTTGATCCCAGGACCCTGAGATCATGACCTGAGCCAAAACCAAGAGTCAGACGCTCAAATGAGCCACCCAGGTGCCCCTAATTGTCATATCTTATCCTTACGCCTTATCCTTGGCACTCTCAAAGTCATGGAATACTCCAGAGAGTTCCTTTCTTGTGAAGTCTGTCACTGGTATCACTTTCTCTGGGACATCTTCAACCTTCTCATCACAACCACTTCATCATGAATGTCGAGAAGTTCACCCTCACTAAGACCCCTGGCTGCAGACCTGTGAAGGGCGAGGGCCGGCATTCCCAGGGTCAGCCGCAACTTCCGTACCCCACTCATGTTCAATGCAAACTTCCCTTCAAGAGCTGCTGCTTTTTTGTTCCTTTGCCCTCCAACTTGCTGCACTAATACTTGACTTCATATACCATGGTAACTGAAATTGAACCCGCTTTGTTGGGGGACTGCATTCCCTAATACCTGAACAAGGGTAACTAAAAGCTGTGCATACAGGAATCGTGCTAAGGGGGGGCAGCCGCTGGGGCATAAACACACACTGCTGTTCACATGTGGCAAACGCGAAGAAAACTTTTTCTCTGGACAAAGAGGGAATGAAATGGGATCAGTGGAACTTCGAAGGTATCTGTATTTTATTTCTTTACAAAAAGGATATGAAGTTAATTCTGGTTGCTGGATACTGGGGCTTTTTCTGTTTGTCCTTTTCTCTACATATGAAATTTCAAAACTTAAGAACTTGAGTCAGTTTTTAAAAAAGCAAACCAAGAACAATAAAATAAATACAGGACTTTTAGAAAGCACGTTTTCTGGCCAGGTGTAAAGGTGTGTAGAGGAACCTTACTCGCTGGGCTGTTGAAATCATTAGGCTTAAAAGAAATCCGTCCAACCTTCGTTCTGCCGCCCCAGCTGTCGCCCCCATGGGACTGCGTCAGCTTTTGTGATTAATAAGTGATTCCAGTTCTTACCTGAATATCAGTTAAATGCAACATCGTCTTCTTATAAGAAAGGATGTCAAAATCTGCTGCTTTCCAGATTACGTGATTGAAAAATTCACCTATTTTTGTCTTTTTGGTAATAACAATTAGATAATTACCTGCAAAAAGCAAAGCCACACACAACATAAATATAAAAGAGGCAACTCTAAAACCAACAGTAGCACTTGGCACCATTTAAGCTCCACAGGCAGCAAGTGAGACCGCACGGTGCCATACAGATAAAAGGCCCATGATTTTTTTTTAAAGGAAACCTTAGGATTTATGAATAGAAAGAATAGCGTATTTAGAAAAGTTCCTACTGAAAGGTCAAATCTTTTCTCAAAAAAACAAAAGCAAAAGCAGTGATCTTGGCAGATGCAGAGTAAAGCCAGAAAACGCTTCTTTCTCGCTCCCAAGGCACACAGGCCTCTGCTAATGCATTTCCCAGCATGTAGCTTAGAGCATCATCATGTGTCATGAGATATGACCACTGCGGGAGAGGTAATGTCCCGTCTACACCACCCCTATGGCGTCCATGTCATTTTAAGTGGTAGAGAAATGTGCTGGGGCAGTATAACTAACTGGTCACTGCAACATCACAAAGATGAACTGTCCAGAATTAAGAAGGCATCACAGTACTATGAATAATACCCCAACCGTGATCCTAGCCGCCGCCGCCGCCTCCCACAAATAAAACAGGGTAAGCCTTTACCACTAAATTAATTCTTAAGCTCCATTCAAGGCTCTACCAACAAGTGCCCTTCCTGGAAGTCTCCCTACGTACCCCTCTCTCCTGGAACTTGTCACACCGTACTACAGTGATTTACTAGTTAAATGCATCATTCACTAGATTGTAAACCACAGGGGGAAAAAAGGGCCTGGCATCTTCCATAACTCAGCATCTAGCACACTGCCTGATATTACAGGAATTTTTTTAAGTTCAATGAAATGAAATCTAGATAAACAAAATCACTTTCCTAATAATTCAGAACCAGGTAACATTCTCTAAGACGCACCAGGTTATATTCAACCTCAATATGGGGCTGACGGTATAGAATACTCTGGGTCATCAGTGCATTAAAATGTTTAAATACTCTTAGAATTTATGAAGAAATGTCTAGTTGACTAGAGATTTCAGTTGAAATAAAACCAAAAACCAAACTTTTTTCAACAGAACCTCAGGCTGATAGATTTTACCACTTGTCATTTGGAGTATGTCACTTTTAGAAATTAGTGACAAATACCTAACCTACAGTTACTGCTCCAAGCATGATAGGAAGTATGCCTTCATTTTATACTGTGTCGTTTTCATTACCTTCTTTGCCCATCTTAGCTTATTTTTTCTTACCTGCCACCAGATGGATTGTGCCCAGTATACCGAATATTGGTCTTGTAACAGCTGAAGGAGGAATATCTTTCTTGACTTTAAAAGAAAAAACAAAAAGGAAAAGAAAAATCACATAGAAAAAGCTCACTGATACAAAAGGAGATTTAGTTTGACTTCCGTAGTTACTTGAAAATCAATATGCATGATTTGTTCTAAGAAAGCAACAGTCCTTCATCTAGTGCTAGACCTCCATTTTGGCAAAATATAAAATAAAGATGTTCATGTGACATATAAAGGCCTCTGCCTGTCTAGAATAAGGTGCCCAAAGTAACATGCTTCAGCATCCTCATCAAGTAAATCGTGGGATACTTCTATGGTCATTTTTCAACCAAATTTATTCAACCTCTTGCCAGAAACTAAGTCTGTGTCTATTTCAGAGAACTAGAAAGTTAATGGAGAGGAGGGCATGAATTTAATACCAACATGCAACTAAGGGAACACAAACAGAGACTTGCCCATCCACTCTACAAATGTGGGAAATGGAGGCAAGACCCAAGGGATGAAGGAGGAAGGAAACGCAGGTGTGCAGGGAGGCACCACCATTAACCTTGACTTTACCAATAATGCCCTTAATAATAAAAAAGTATCTTGGATTATAGGGTTCATTTCACAATTGTTAAACTTTAAGTCAATGTGTTTCACAAAACACATTCTGTAGAACTCTAGGGAATAATGCACCAAAGTGGGGAGGGTAGGAGTCCTCATCAAATGAGCTGATTTTGCTACAGACATCCACATCACCTCTCTTCCCTCTCCCGGAGTCACAAGGCATGGACCTCTGAAGAGCCTACAGGGGAACAAAGCTGCTCCGTGGTTTCATTCACAGCTCCCAGGCTTATGTGGCTATATAATTTTTCTTTCACAGTTTAATTACCATCCTAGAACTCATTTTGAAACGCTGCTGTCAATCCAAGTCCTGTTTCTTAAAGGCAGTCCTGTTATTCTGAATGAAGTAATTCCAAATAAGGTCTGAAGTTCACTTCTGTTTCTCTCAGTGGTTCAATTTACTTAGCAATGCTATGCCACAATTAACGAACATGACAAATGGGAATGCCAGCGCAGTGAAAAGCTTAGAGAAAATCCTGAATATACCGAGATCATCTGATAAAAATGTACTAAAATATCAGTCCCCATCCCAAAAAAAAAAAAAAAATTAAATGTACTATTTATTGATGGAGCTCTAAGTTACATTAACTGGAGTATAATAACAATAAAACTGATAATTCCTAAGAACACACATTAGTTTTTCATGGAAGGAAAAAAAAATCCCTCTTTCCGTGGCAATGGTCTGCATTCCCAACAGCTAAAAAAAAAAAAAAAAAAAAAAAAACTAGCAGAGCAACTGTGAGTGAGTCGGCCCCTTATCACCACTGGCTTCAGGTCAAAGTATCTCTTCATGTGTCCACTGATGACTACTTGGTGTCCTTTTTACAACCAAACTATTGGTGACCTTTAGCACTGTCGCCTCTAGTGGATCTGCAATCTCTACCTACAAGTATCACTGAAAGGTCAAAAATAATTGAAAACACATCCACGCTAAAGCTTTTATAAGACACTAGGTTGTATCAACACGGTCTAAAGTAGTAGTGTTACTAGACTTTAGAAGTGCCCTAACATTGGTTAAAACCAACCAGCTATCTTGAGAGAGCAGCCACCAAGCAACAGACACAGGAAATGCCAAATTATCAAACCAAAACAGCCCTCTAATTCCATTTGGTCAGAGGAAAACTATATATGGTACTTACCAGAATAAGCAGGTAACTAAGAAAATAGAAATTTATAGCCATCTCTTTCTTATACTTTACTATCCTATCCAAAATATTTTCATATTTCACTTTATCCATTCAGAGGGTATTTACATTTACTGAATTCCTACTCTGTGGTTACTCAAATACTGTACTTAAATACAGAGAACTCTGTCTAGAGCGGAATATTTAAACACATGAAATATGAAATTCTAAATGTGATATCATGTGGTATATTAATTTATCACCACAATTATTTCACATCTAATCAGAAATCAGTGTTCCATATGATTGGGAAAAAATTGTTTTTTACACCCCTGAGAAGCAAAACCGAAATACAACTGGAGAGACAGACAACATATAGACAGATAAAGCTTAGGAACATTATTTGCCTACAACACAAGTTTTAGTCAGTGATACACACATATATATATGTGTGTGTGTGTATATATATATAATTTTTCATTTATTAAATTACCCTCAGTCATGAATATTTTCAAAAACTAAAGCTGCTGTTAAAATTCCACACACTTAATGCTCAAACAACTTTCTCATCCTCAAATACCTTAAGTCTCACAGCTAGAAAGGAACTGACATCAATAAAACCGATCCTGTTAAAGTACAGATAAGGGAAGAAATAAAGAAATAATTATGTTTTTAAATTCTTACGGATAGTAAAAATTTCAAGATCATTCCTCCTTTTCAGAATAAGGAGGAAGCATAAAACGAATGCGTAACAATCAAATGAGGTGGCGGAATTCAAAGTTATAAGACGAGACTCTGAGAGCCACACACAGATATACCCCGATTGTTTATTTTAATTACTGCAACTGCGGTACAGAGTCTGTCTCAAGGCTGCTTCTGCCCCCAGCTGAGAAATACCTGACAGGGTAACTTCTGTGGACACGCGGTCGATGACAAGTACGTCATCTGCTCCATCATCACAAGCTTCCACATAAAATTTTTCAGGTGTGACATGCCTAAGAAGAAATTAAAAACTATAAATAACCACAGCAGATGAAATGCAGGCTTCTAAAAAAACAACAACAAAAAACACAAACCTATTTATTGTAACAGCCTCAGCAGTGCTTAAATTTGACATCAAATTGATTTCCCAGCTACTGAATAGGTGTTTTGTTGTCCTGACACATTCACTGCAACTGTTTTCACTGGTATATTACGCTCACAAGGTTTGCTGTAAAACCAGTTTGACTTACACAAGAAAATCATAATAAATTCTAACTTATTACATTCAACATAGTGCAGAATGCAGATGGTAGTCAGGAACCCAGTCTACAGAACCAGGCTAATCGGGCTGTGTGAACTTAGGCAAATTACTCATCCTCTCTGTTCTTCAGTTCCCTTATTCATAAAACAGAGATATATCAGAAATCAAACAACATTGTCGTGGGGATAAAATAAGCTCATTTTTGATAGGCCCTTAGAATAACATCTGACACATAGTAAGGAAGATATATTAACTAAAAGTACAAGAAATATATTTTAAATAAAACATTTCCAGGAAACTGTTTAAAATAAACTACTTTAGGGGCACATCGGTGGCTCAGTTAGCTAAACATTTGCCTTCGGCTCAGGTCATGATCTCCTGGTCCTGGGGTCTAGCCAGCATCAGGCCCTCTGCTCAGCGAGGAGTCTGCTTCTGCCTCTCACTCTGCCCGCCACTCCCCCCTGCTTGTTGCCCTCTATCAAATAAATAAATAAAATCTTAAAAAAAAAAAAATAAACTAACATTTGGGCATTTTTGTTTTTGTTGTTAGAATGCCATATTAAAAAAAATGAGAACGAGGAAAAAAAAAACTTCTCATTCTGCAAAATAAGAAATAAAGGGGGTAAAATCAGGATTGGGACAGACTACTCAGAGCGTATGCAACTTTGTAACCAGAATCCAACAAAAACCACACTTTGCGGCTCCTCAGGAGAACACCAGGATAACTCAGGGATAACCCAGGCAAGCGAGCGGGGTGCTGGAGGTCAGGGGCTGCCTCGGGAAACAGTAACTCCTCCCACAAACAATACAGTGAAAACAATGCAGGAGGACGTACAACCTTCCAGGAGCTGACCAGGCCTGGGGAAGGAACCAGTTTTCTTTCTGTGCGGTGTTCTGTTTTGTTTGTATTTTCCAGGAACTAATCTTTATTGCCTTAAGCCTCATTTGAAAGAATTTCCATCTGTGTAGCAGCCAATGTGAGGGCTTTGTCCTTTCCTATTTTAAACTCTACTCCCTCTATTCCACTGGCCCTGCCTGTGAAAAATCTTAAACAAACCCACACGGCCATCACCGACACCATTTCCTACATATGATGGTGTTTAGGCTACCTGGCATTACAGGACCAAGTCCTGCAGCAGGCCAGACCATACTGTACTTTCTGACTACAAGCTCTCAACTTTTAAGGATCCAAATGCAACTTACATCCTGTTATGGTTCATCTGTAACCAACTTTTTAATATTAGGCTAGTTTCCTCCAGGGGCGCGGGGGGGGCGGGGGGGAGTTGCTAAGAGAATGAAAACCAATCCATTTTAATACAAATCAAGCAAAATACAACAAAGACAAATCTGCTTTAAATATGGGGGTCTTCAACTCAAACCAAATACAAGAGTTCATTCCTTTTTACAATGCCGAGTAGCATTCCAGTAAATATATCACCATCTGTTTATCCATTCACTTGTTGATGGACATCGGAGCTGCTTCCAGTTTGAGATATTACGAATAAAGGTTCTGTGAACTTTCTTGTACAAGTCTAAGGTAGACACACCCCTTCATTCCTCCTGGGTGACTACCTAGAGGTGGAAAGGCTGATCTCACGGGAGTTATATGCTTCACTTGTACAGCGAGGGAAAGGGCGGGGTTGCTGGCGCAAGGAAACTTTCCGGGGTGACGGAGGTGTTCATTATCTTGATACTGGTGATGGTTTTGTGGGTATAGAAAAACGTCAAGGGACGCCTGGGTGGCTCAGTCGTTAGGCGTCTGCCTTCAGCTCGGGTCGTGATCCCGGGGTCCTGGGATCGAGTCCTGCATCGGGCTCCCTGCTCAGTGGGGAGACTGCTTCTCCCTCTCCCTCTGCTGCTCCCCCCACTTGTGCTCTCTCTCTCTCTCTGACAAATAAATAAATTTAAAAATCTAAAAAAAAAAAAAAAAGAAAAACGTCAAAATGTGTAATACTACTGTACCCTTGAAATACGTGGAGTTTACTGTCTGCCCAAATATACTTCCAATAAAGCTATTTTTTTTTTAAACTGAGAGGTCCTGAAACCAACTAAAAGGAATAAAGCAAATTTCCAGACAATCTACTCATAGGGTAGTTATCTCTAGTCTTAGATCATGAAAACAAAACAAAACCAAATCAACATGCCAGTCCTTGTCTGCAGATGTTGTGTGCAAGCATAAACTGCTAAGAGTGAGTCAATACATTTACTGAAGGCTAACCATGTGTGAAGCATTACACAAGCATTAGGGGACTGGAAGGTAGGGGAGAGATAAAAAATAAACTGGAAAAAAATTTCAATAAAAAAACAGACCTCAAAAACAAGACTTCTTTATGAAATCAATAAAAGCTTTCAAAGAAAGCGCTGTCTCCAAAGCAGAAGCCATTCTGACAAGCCCCCTCCTGAGAGCACCCCCCACCCCCGCATCTCATACACGCCGTGTGTGCGGGTCTGCGCAGATAGAGCACAGATGCCCCACGGCATTCTTTGAGGCTTAAACAGGCTTAGGACCTGAAAGAGTGCCCATGGCTGGTGCTATATCGAACATCCTGTCCCACCTCTGATGTCTGGAGAAACTCCAGGAGTTCTTTTCACAAGGTTCAAATGAATCTCTCCTCTGTTCTCTTCTAAAATAATGATTACAGCATTGCTAAGGAGCAGTCCATTACCAATGCTGCTTCAGTGTTAAGTCAACTCCCAAAGACTTGTTCTGGGCCCCTGTAGGCCAAAGCAACCACCCAGAATCACGGTCAATCAACAAACACATGGGGGCCTTGTTTAGATGGGAAATCAAAGCTGATGGTTAGGGTTTGAAGCCAACAGCCAAGAAAGAATTCTTGAGACGTCTTTGGTGCAAAAAGGTGGTTTTATTTTTATTTTTTTTTAAAGATTTTATTTATTTATTTATTTGACAGAGAGAGACACAGCAAGAGAGGGAACACAAGCAGGGGGAGTGGGAGAGAGAGAAGCAGGCTCCCCACTGAGCAGGGAGCCCGATGCGGGGCTCAATCCCAGGACCCTGGGATCATGACCTGAGCCGAAGGCAGACGCTTAACGACTGAGCCACCCAGGCGCCCCGAGATAGAAGTTTATTGAATAAACAGCAGGGGAGTGGCAGACAGGACAGCAGAGGAGAAGCTGTTTGCCAGGAGGCAGGGGTGAGGGTGGAGTGAGGGAGCATGGGGACATCACTGTGCCTGGTTGTAAGTAGCTCATTGGTTAGTAAAACCCTATGGCTATTTCGAGGTGGGTTGTTTAATAAACCTGTTTGCATTGCTGCTTTGCATTCAGCTTGGTGGTCGCTGTGAGCCTTTTGCCTTGCTCAGGTTCCAAGCCTCTTCCCAGGGTCCTGGGATCGAGCCCCGCATCGGGCCCCCTGTTAGTGAGAAGCCTGCTTCTCCCTCTCCCATTCCCTCTGCTTGTGTTCCCTCTCTGTGTCTCCGTCAAATAAATAAAATCTTAAAATAAATAAATAAAAAAACTTCTCTCTCTTTTGTTCTGCCTTGGGTGAATTCTTTCACCGCCCCGCTCCTGCCAGCCCCACCCGATGGGGACACCCCATAATCTCAGCCCTTCATTAAGCCTGGGGATGAGAATGCTTACCCTAACTATTTCATAGACAGCAGGAATTAAATGAGCATTTATGAAGTACTTTTGCAAAGAATAAAAGGTCTGCCTCATAGGTATGGTAACTTTTTATCATTAACAAAAACATCCTTTAAAAGAGAAGGGAGAAGTTGCAAATTTTCATGAAAGGACCAGAAAAGTTATTTAATTTAACTCACATTTTAAAGAAATAATACAATGGAAGATTCTGATATCTTTGCCACATGGGCCACCTCTGAACAATTTGGTTTTGATAGGAAGATACTGGAATCAAACTATATCTTCTAAATATATATCCCCAAAGATCAAGACCATATAAAACAGAGTTCTGATTTATCAAAAATATTCCAGAATAATACAGAATGTGAATAAAAATTATGAATGAATGTCTTTCTTGATTTATTTGTAAATATGACTCTATAACAAGAAAAAAGCTTTTAGTACAAAAGACAATGTTAGCTTTAAGAAGCCTGCATGAAATGCTGGTTACACCTTGCTACTTCTTCCAGCAATCATTTTTACTCTGCATAGTCAAAAGTTGAACAATGAGGGGCGCCTGGGTGGCTCAGTCGGTTAAGTGTCTGCCTTCGGATCAGGTCATAATCTCAGGGTCCTGGGATCGAGCCCCACATCAGGTTCCCCGCTTAGCAGGGAGTCTGCCTCTCCCTCTCTCTGCCCATGCTCTCTTTCTCTCTCAAATAAATAAATAAAATCTTTAAAAAAAAAGATAAAAAAAAAAGTCTGAACAATTAAACCACAGACAGAATGTGCTGGAAATTAAATTGTATCGTCGAAGTGACTGTGGTAGACTCCATTCTAGATAGAGATGTCCCCGCAAGATCCCCGTCTCCTGATTACTCATTCAATCTAGGTACTGCCCTGCAGATGGAATTAAGTTTACTAATCAACTGGCCTTAAAACAGGATTACCTTAGGTAGTCGGGGTGGGCCCCAATGGAATCACATGCATCACAGGAGCCCGTAAAAGCAGAAGGAAAGGAGAGCCAGTCAGAGAGGTGCAGCAGAAGGGGAACGGGAAATTTCTGGTATGAGACGGATTTGATAAGCTGCTGACGGCTCCTGAGATGTTGGGGCCACATGCAAGGACAGGAGAGAGGCTTCTAGAAACTAAGAGTGGCCCCATGCTGAC